TTCTTTTACTTCTTCAGATGTAAAGTTCTTTCATCTTCGTTTTGTATGTGCACATCGGAAGTTTCAACTTATCTATTATTATATTTGACATATTATAAATATTCTGATGTCAATGTGCGTACTACTGTATTCTTTCGATATTCCGTTATTATCCTATCTGACCTCATGGACATATACGGACTGAAGCTTATACGTATTTGTAATAACTTACACGATGGTTCGTAAATTTCGATATTTACCACCCTGCTAAATTTAACAATTCTTTTCGCAAACACAGACACATATGCATCTTTATTTGTTGGGAGGAGCTACTATAGTAGCTCACGTGCATTTGAGTTTGTTCACATTTAATTTGGTTAAGCACTTTTGTAAACTTATTTAACGGATAGAATCATCCGTACAACAACAAGTTATCTTATATCATTGCACTTCCATTATCCTCGCGCTGGTATGAGTTTATTCTAATGATTTATCATACCTCAGTCTGTTCCACAACAAAATGTTAGGTATTACTTGTCGTTCATATCCAAGTGTCTTACTGCTCCTCGGGTTCTCTTTTTTCAGAATCTCGCCCTGAGGTCACAGTTATGGTACTTCTGACATCTGGAACAAACTAGACATACGTGTTCTCCCAAGCACTCTACAACTTTGCTTTATAACAAATGTAAACTTAAAAAGTTGCATTGAATAAATACTTCGCACGACCAGAATCCTAACACACTTATGCTCAGATTGGATCCGGTGTGTAACGTAGACACGATTCCACCTTGGAGAATATTTTGAAGATTACTCAGTATATCTGAAGGAATGAACTGATATTCACATTTATACACTACATTTATTTAACATGCATACCTTGAAACAATAAATGTTGTAATTTGTAGATCATGCCTGTAAAAATGGCATGTACTTGCCCTTGCAGAAATATGCTATATCATATTATTATATGCGTGCTTGAGCACTGCTTAGTGCCTACGCGAATATTCAGTTTGTTAGCTTTAATGTTAGTCGCTTAGTTGATTCGACGATTCACTCATTTTCCTATGTATATATAAGTGCATTTTAATCCTGTTCATTGACTCGCTCACTCGCTTGCTCGCCTGCTTTTCGGCACTACTCTTTAATGCTTGCTTAGCGAACCTGTAATTTTGGTAAACTTGATCCACACTTCGTATTCACTTTCTGATTAATACACCGTCAGGGCGTTATCTGGTGACGGTTATGAGGACGAACTATACACGAAGTTTAAGGATTATATTGAATACCGACCACTATAGTAGCCACTGTTCACTCTAAGCGAACCAGATCGATGTCCAGAAGGAAATCACTTTTGAGACAACATTCGAGATCACCGAAGCAGACCCCAGGAAATTATTTGTATCACCAGAAAAATAGCACAAGGTCATGACACTGCACAAGACCGTGTACATTCACAACACCCAATATTAAAAATCAGGGAAACGGACAGGCTAGACATTAATGGCGGCGACCGTTTCTGGTCACGCGACAAGCCATCTTTTTCACACCAGGGATCTCATTTCTGGTTCAGACTTTTTAGTCTATACAGGAATCGAAATAAGCATCATCCCGCTTGAGCTGTCAAGACGATGATGTAGAATTTTGGTCTACCATGCTATTAGTACTGCTCTAATAATAGACCTAATCCTAAAATTGTAGATTTGTTATCATGTAACTGCCTAATCCATAAGATCTCACGTGCAAATCACATCATCTTCTACACCAACTCACTGCATCTTAACAATTACCAACACATGATGGAGAAGAATTTCAGGCTAGAAATGGAACAATATATTTAGTATGAATCAAAGATGTAAGGTAACATTCAGCAGGAACCATGTCTGCATGGCCGAGCCATGCCATACGACCAACTCTAACACATTCAATTCATTGTTCCCGCCTTTTCCATCGTTAGGTATTTCCCCGCATTAAATGTTGAATGTCTATTACTATATTGTCTCGCGGTAGGGCCCAATGCCACTAGAATGACACACCTCAAAAAGTGGTGTCACTCTAGGTGACCAACTGAACAGTTATCAGGAATTGTGAAAAGTATTCTTTGATTTTAGACCCCGTGATTCCGCCGGCGTTTCACGTGAATTTTCGCCGTTGCACAAGTTAAACAGCCCATCTTTGGACCTGACTTTTTCAGTACTTATGATCTGCTGATGGACATAAACGAAAAAACTGATAGATAGGAATACCCGTTTGCAAGTGAATGAAACCACAACTTGCTGCGAAATTTGTGGTATCCGAGTAGTTAAACCGATGATTGAGGCATTAACTGATGTTCTTTCAAATTATGAGTGCATTGCCAAAGCAGATTATCAAGACGAACGTATCATATACTATATCCGACATCATATAACCACCACAGGTCCACCGATCTGTGCTAAACCACGTCGATGCCCCTGGACAAGATTAACACTGCAAAGAGAGAATTCGAACAAATGATGTATCTAGGTATCACGCGGCAATCTAGTAGTTTATGGGCTTCACGTTTACGTATGGTTCCCAATAAAGATCAAGACTGGCATCCATGTGGGAATCACATGCAGTAACTTGAAGTTATGGTATATATAACGCCGAGAATCATCCAACGCGTAACACAAATATTAGCCTAAGTATTCTGTAGAACCGTACTCATAGTCCTCTAACTCCAAATGAACTGGAACTTCTGGGAGGCATATTGATGATTGTAATGTAAGTTAGCCGGAGTAATCAGCTGAAGTATATAACGGGAATATAGCTGTAGTCTGTAAATATAGGTAATACATACGTTAGAGTTCAGTTATCACAACAACAAACATATATGTAGCAATGTATTTGTGAGCAGTTATTAGTGTGTCGTGCTAAGGGGATTGAAATCGGAAAAAGAAAGAATTCAAGATAATGTGATTTTAAACAACTGTTTTACAGTCACTCATTGTAAATGTACAAGTTGCGAAAATTAATGTAAGGAATGCGAATAGTATCAAAAACTAATTACAAAATAAGTTTGACGTGACTATCTCCATAACTCCTAGTCCTCGAACTCCAAATGAACTGGAACTTCTGGGAGGCATATTGATGATTGTAATGTAAGTTAGCCGGAGTAATCAATAGACAGCTTTAGTCCCAGATTTAACGCTAATATGAGTATATCAACCAGGTGTATTTGTAACCTTGAACCAGTTTGTACTTCCTGAGAGATTCGAAATGGTATCACTTAGTGTTGTTGTTGGAAAGTTACTACTTAATTATTGGTGTTGTAACTGACTTACGGAACAGTAATTTGTCAGTCTTCGGTATTGATGCTAATCTCATTAGTTTTAATGGACACACCGTAGCTGAACGCACCTGATCACACATTTGCACCAGATCGCTTGTGTGTACGTCGTTTTAAGATTTAGGCGTTTTAAGCGCTCGTTTTATATGAATTTGGAAAGACCATTCACTAATTTTGCTCCCACACACTGAACACGCTCAAGTGAGTTAGTATTCTTTATCAGACATCAGCTAGCAACTTACATACAGTACTCTGCTTGTGGTCTTATATAGGTGGGATATAAAATTCGACACATCTCCTCGTAGAAGCATTTGAACGTTCTGCGAAATGGCAACAGTTGCGTTGCAATGCGTAGTTGTTTTCAAGTCGTGACTAATTGTTATACCTAAGTCTTTATGTACTTGAACACGTGGAAGAGATGTACCATTAGTAGTATGATGGTAACTATTATCGTGTCCGATGTGCACGAGCACATTCTTCCTAAATTAACTTCTAAGCCTCAACCTCAAGCCCATTTAACTAATTCGTTTAGGTCAGCTTGGAGGTCAAAATGATCAGCCACACTTCTTATTTTTCTTCAGATTTTGACATTGTCCACAAACAATGATGTCGACAACTTGAGAAAAGACGGTAATTCCTTAATGTAGAGGAGGAAAAGTAGAAGGCCTAAGATGGTGCCTTGGGGAATATCATTTTGACCGGCCTATATTCGGATAGCCTCCTTTGTCTGTGGTCTTCTATCCATTCCTGTACAGCAAACGTTATTTCTAAGTCGGAGAGCCTTTGCATAAGACCTAGGTGTGAAATATTGTCAAACGCTTTGCTAAAGTCTATGAATATCACGCGGACAGACAGACCGTTATCTACGGCATCCACTCGGGACGATAATCGTTTTGTCTGGGTCATCAGTCACCGCTGTAGCGAACTGGGCACCGGTATCTAATAGTGAGTCGTTCACTAATTGTTTCAGGATAGAAAGCTTTATTGTGTGCTGCAAAGTCGGGTGTCTGACACGTGCCGTGAGAACACATACGGCACTGACGTATTCTACTCTATCAGTACACATGTTACCGGTACAGACCTGATCAACCTTTCTGTTAGCCAACGCCAGAAAGCTAATCCCCTCTTGGACGAGTCGTATTTTGCTCGAACAACAAGACATACAGAGTCAATGAGAGTTAGGATTTGAGAACCTTCTATAGGCAGTGGGATTTAAGCGGGTACAAATCCTGTGGAACCACTTCCTACACTCACCACATAGCATTACTTCTTCTACAGAAAATAAGCAATATAGCTGTCCAAACTTGTGAACAGAGCCAAATGTCCTAAAAATCAACTAAAGATGATAACATAAAAACGGATATATAAAAACATATCAAGCGTTAACTGAATAAATCAAGTCAAAGTCGACCAAATATGCTTTGATGCAATAAATACATTAAACCAAAATCAATAAACACAAACATAACATCGATTCAACAGAAATAGATTCAATTACAGTGTAAACAGTAGTTTTGATGCGTAATTTGCTATCAAAATAGTACATTTAACTCAACGAGAAATAATACCACCATCCATTTTAAATACATGAGTGACGTTCCACTCCAAAATTTTATGTAATCATCAAAATAAAAGACAAATAAGTTATGAAACTCACTGTATTTTAAGATTAAGTAAATGGTTGTGTTGAGTAATTATACAACAAATGTATAATGACTTTCAATCCTATTTTGAATATGTGCGTTACTGTTTCCTTTTTCTGTTTTATTTATTGAGCTTCTGGTGGACCAAGAATTTGTCAGTTCGAAAATAGTAATAAAGTTATTATGTATAAATGTTGATGTTATAATATATCCATTATAATTTATAAACACAAATAAAAATTTAAGGACGTTAAATCAGCAAACTTCCTAATCAACCAATAAAGGGGAAATAAAGGTGAAAAAAAGGGTTAATAAAGGAGAAATAAACGGGAAAACGCTCCGAAATGTCGCTTTTTCGCCTGTGGGGGGGATATAATGCGGTTTTTCCCTTTTTGCTATCTCTTAGTCGTCTACTTTTCGCCTAAATATCCGCCGAATTGTCTAGTTTTCCACTAACTATTCCCCGAGTTTCCCACTTTTCTCCTAAATGTCCTCCGAATTGTCTACATTTCGCTTAGATATTCGCCGAATTCTTTACTTTTCGCCTGAATGTACACAGAATTGCGTTATTGATCGAACTTTTAAGACCATTGGCACAACCCAAAAGGTCTCTTATGTTCGCTTTTATTTCCACAACGAAACTCAGTAAAACTGCAATCCACGGGAAAAACGGTATATATTAAAATAACTTTAATTAATAGGAAAAGCGTATTATTGTACAACATTATGGCAGAAGCTTGAGCATCAATTCTTTTGCATTTCCATTGTAATTGCCAATTCATCGTCATTTTTAAAGATCGGCAAAAGAAGAAACACTTGACGTATTATTTATAACGCATGTGCATTCAATCGCAAGTTCACTGACAATCAAACACAATTTCTCAACACTTCAATAGTTTCTCATGTAAGTAATAAAGTAAGCTCTCTTAAAAAATGTTTATTAAAACCTACGTACAACATAAAAAACATTACACGGACTACTTCCTTTAGCCACGTATGTCCGGCTATTGAGAATGAAAATAGTCTTCCTGTGAATTCTGAAGTTTAAAAAACAAAATAAGTCACAACGATATCTGAATAACATGCCGCCCAATTGGGCGTGCTGTATCTAGTACCAGAATCAAAAATTGTAGATTAATAATAATTCCAATGGGATTGTTATGGTTACAGTAGAATATAATGTAAATGTGGCTGCAGTCTATAAATGTAGATGGTAGATGATTTAGAGTTCATTTATCTTAGCCACAAGTAATAGAGAACGAATTCTAAGGAGTACGATTGGTAGTGCGTCAATCTACTTCGATGTATCAGCTTGTGCCTTCAGGGAGCTTTTCGATTGGCGGTGAAATCCTTCGACCATACCATTAGCTACTGGATGACAAACTGTCGTTTTGATGTGGTTCATCGCGAGAAGTTTGTTAGATTTCTGGAATAGGATCGATTGAAACTGAGGACCACGGTCTGTAGTGACAATGTATACTACTCCATAATTTGATATCCAGCGATTGAGATAAACTGCGGCGACAGTTTCTGCTGATATATCTTTGATGGGGCACGCTATTGCCCATCTGGTAAATCTGTCTACAGCGGTAAGAATATGTGTAAAGGAATTCGATGGAAGAGGACCAACTATATCTAAATGTACATGCTGGAAACGTCGATCAGGTAATGGAAATTTTCCAATAGGACTGACTGTGTCTTTGAACCTTGCTGCGTTGACACTGAATGCAGCTTAGTGTCCATCGTTTTATACCCGAGTTAATTTTGGGCCAGACAAAGCGTACAGTGATGAGTTTGGTTGTGCTTCAGATGCCAGGGTGTGTAAGCTCGTGCAGTTGTTGAAATACACTTCGTCGACATGTTTTGGGCATGAAAGGACTATTGTTGCCGGTTGAAACATCGCAGATAATAGATGAATCGGAGAAAGGAATAGATACAGATTTGAGGATCAAGCTAGACTTCTCTTTGTAGGTTTTTAGTTCTGCATCGTCTACTTGTAACTTATCTATGGTTTCAAGACTAATGTCGTGTTTCTGTACTAGCGTATTGATATCCTGTCTAGATAAGGCATCTGCGACTATGTTGAAATGTCCTTTGATGAACTGGATGTCTGTAGTGAATTTTGAAATATAATCCAGTTGTCTTGCTTCGCGTGGGGAATTTCTGTCGTACGACGTGTTAAGAGTCAGTCAGTCAGTAACAACGTGAGACTTCGTACGTACGTACATCAGTTCGAGTCGCCATATCACATTAGCACAGAGATCCAGTTATCGATTCGAATCCCGTAGTGGTAGAGGTAGTGAAAGTATAAGTAGTGATAGGGAACATCAGGGTTTGTTTATGTTATTTAAGGAGTATAATCCAGTGGAATAAATTGGGAAAGAAAATAAGGACATGGAGAATTCAGAAGATTAGAGCTTGAGAGAACACAAAGAGTGGATGCACCTGCACCATTGCAAACGATTTTGAGCCATGTCATTCAAAGTCTCTAACCATCGGTTGCTATCATCTCGCGGTCCTCAACCAAGTAGTCTACACCTACCAACGAGGCTCAGTCCACTTGTCAGTGACTTCATGGATTTGTGCCAAGTTTTGGTCTGGCCGCCCCTAGCTTTCTTCCAATCTACTCCTACACCAGGAAACATAGCACGTCATGGCAGTCGGTGGTCGAGCATGCGCAACACATGTCACAGCCATCTCAACTGATTAAGTTTTACTACTTCATCAATTGACTTGCTATCCTTATCTAGTACCCGTTTCCTAACAACTGAGTTACTTACTCGGTGGCACTAGGATATACGAGCAATGTTTCGAAGACACCTATGGTCAAATACTAGTAACCTACGAATATCCTCTACTCTTACTGACCATGTTTCACTGCCGTTAAGTAGGACGGAACGAACTGCTGCGCAGTAAACACGTCCTTTGGTTGATAGACGGATATCTCGCCTACGCCACAAATGCTGCAAGTTGGCAAAAGCTAGTCGAGCCTTTTGTATCCGTGCTGAGATTTCGTCACACACCAGACCACAAGGGCTGATGAGACTTCCGAGATAAGTGAAGCGGTCGACACGCTCAACTACTTCACTCCCTATCAATAGTTCGGGTGTCGACGCAACCCAATCCTGAAGCAACATCTTGCATTTCGAGGGAGAGAATCGCATGCCGAACATGCTTGCATTATTGCTTAGAGTGGTCAGCAGACTGCATTTTGTCAGCGTCTTCACTAAATAGAACTATGTCATCGGCATACTCTAAGTCAACAAGTGAAACTTTCAGTAGAAGTTCAACCCCTGGAGAGTCAGATGTGGAAAGTGTTATTTCTAAAAGTACTTCAACGACAAAGTTAGACAAGAATGAAGAGAGTGGACAGATAGTAGCATAAGGGTTTATAATACGTCATTATAGTGAAGTCGCGTCCTTGTTACAGGAAGTTGAAGTGCTTTACCGCTAAATATATTACTAGTAATTCCCGTCTGAAGGTGCTGTAACGTTCCTGTGCAGGCGACAGTCGTCTGGAGAAAAGTGCTATAGGTGTAAGAACGTCGTTGACTCGTTGTTGTAGTACTGCCCCTGCAACTTTTTGAGATGTGTCAGTGCATAGAATTATGTGTCACCTAAATGTCTCCCAAGACGCGAGAAGTTACAAATTCACATCCTTACAGACGACCAATAAAGGTGAAATGACTATTAAGTATTTTTAATCAAATCCCTCCCTACGTGATTTTTTCTATTACATCTTAGAATACGCAATGATGATGAGGGCTGTGAGTGGCAAACTACTGATTGCGGATACTGGATGTTTTTTAATAAATCATCTTTGTAATGTACGCCTTCTTTCTCGCTATTGTCTGCCATGTTGGGACTGCTCACGACAATCTTTTTGTATTTTCTCAAGTGTCGAACGACGACAATGGAACTAGTAAGTTAGTACAAAGACGTCGCTATGATTTGGATGTCAATGTTTGTGTTGATTGTGTCAACTATTGATGATAATGAAAGTAAATTTTAAATGATACGTCAATTACTATTCTCATTGATGTAAATTTGCAAAATCTTCACTTCGTCTGAAACATTTAAACGAAGTGTCTGAAAATTTCCCTATCGTATGCAAAAAAGATAACATTTGGTTGCAATTTCGCCCGAATAAACACCGCATTTTCTTAGCCATTGTTGCACACATCTCCTCAGATCTTGCCTTTTTCTTCGTGTTGTTGTTTGATTGAAATGGATTCGTAATTTATAAGTAGTGTTTTCCAAAATTGTTTTCAATCAAGATTTACAATGTGATCTCAAAAAGCTGATGTCGGCCTCCAACTAGCGGAAAGCAGTAGTTAGTAGTTGAAATTGTTACTCACCTTTATAGCTAGCTCACCTTATTTTATACTGCGAAAGTGCCCTTGATTAACGATATCGTAAACCATAACATGATCGTTTCCGTTGTTTTTTTCGATAAGAATTTACGTGCTATTCCACGTTGTAAATAAATGAAACAAAATGTAGTCGTCTCATACTATTGTTGAATCCGAACTCGGAAATACTTCGTTTCGTCGCCGTCCCCATCAAGGTGACTTTTGTTGTATATGTTGGTTTTGCTATCTAAGACAAAATCGATGTTTTCGGCTGGTTATGCACCGACTTAGTTATCATCCCTGTCTAGAAAGTAAACAAATTGTAAACTAAATCAGTTTACTTCTAGATTTATGTCAAGTATCCGCTTGGTGAAGGAAGATTTATATCCAACTCTTCTAAATATTCTTCTGTTAATAAAGAGAACCGTAAGCTAGCTAGTCCCTCGTTAATCTTCTTACTGATGATCTAATATAGGTGTTTTTGAAGACACTACTTCTCACCCCTGCACCTACGTACATTACTGGAGTCATTTAGCAGATTTTTTAGACAGATTCTTGTTTCGTTGGATAAACTATCCTTTAAAGTGTAATCTTGATTCATTTTGCTTCACCTTTTGGGATTAAACAGTGACTTTTAATATATAACACATGATTACTCTTTTCATTCAGTGAGTATTGTAGCTCCCTACTATTAGTGTAATTGTAACCCTTTTTACGAACCACTGCTTTACTGTGAATCTATATTTACTTTATATTGAACGACAGGGTTGTAAATTCCATATTTTTCTAGCTCCTAAAGTTTCAAGTTGTTTACGTTTAAATTTGTATGTAAGTTATCAAATAGGTCGGTCTAAAATGACAAGGGAAACATTTTTATCTCTAGTTGCTATGAAGTTTATTTAGTTAAAGTGACAAATTTAAGCGTTTCTCACCGTTTTAAAATTTGCTAAAATTTAGATCTTATAGGTCGACCAGCCACTATGCTGACTAGTGGACTGAGGTAGGTTAACTGAGGTTTAAAGTGTGCAAGATGTTATATATATGTAATACTTATTTTCTGGTAAATTGGACAATACGAGATACTTACAGTATTCTTCTAGAGACTAGATCACAACTACAGCAGAGCTGCTGCTCACATATGTGGAAGATAAGAGTAACTCGGAAGTACCAAATTTTGTTACTAAATCACCAATGTTAAGAAGAGGTTTTTTTTTGCATGCATAAAAATCAACAAACTGGTTAATTAGCATATTCAGTCAGTCAGCAAATTAGTGAACAATTAGGAAGTTACACTTTTATTCAGGCTATTTTTCGGGTTCTGAATTTGAAAATATTCATCTCTTTGTAGAAAACTTTCACTTATGATGGTCTCTGGTAGTTTAAAATACATCTAAGCTAAAAGATAAATACGATCAAAGCTAGTATCAAGTCTGACAAACAAAGAGTTCATCATGTTATTAGTGTAGGGGTTTACTAATTAGTTACTATATTGGCCACGAAATCTCCCCAAAGTCTTTGTTGATTTCAATTCTAAAGTTCCAATCTTCAAGATTTTGATGCCTGATTGTAGTTTATACTGAGAAAACCTGCCATAGTATGGTGTTTTATCATCTTAAGCATGCAATATATCTAATGTATGTGTTAAAATATTAATAAGCTTGCGCATAGTTGTTTTTGGGTTGAATTGCTTCTGATTGTAATCTGCTTATTAAATGAACCTTGGATTGATAATGTGCTCTTTAATTAAATTTTCACTTGTTGAGGCCTTTATTTGTTAAGTTGTATTGTACGGAAGTAACTATCAGGTGTAAATACTTTCTCAAACACTTATTCGTAAACTTTTTGGATCGATTAGATATCCGTAAGGAAAAATTGTAAAGTACTTTTGTTAACTTCACTTTATTATCTAAGTGTAAATTTTTTCCAATTAGCCCTGAGTCGTATTATTTGACGGCGGTTTATTCAATATTTTTAGAGAATGAGAATCGACGACATAAAATTTGTTCTTTGTTGGACCATAATTGTTCGTCAATATGTGATACAATGTAATGTTGCCTATATAACCTACTGTCCTTGCATGGGTATGTTTTATGTAATGGTCGCTTGTATTTTAATAGGTCGGCTTGGAAACCAGATAGAACAGTTCCTAGGTATGATTGCATTTGCAATAAGAATCAACCGTACTCTTGTTTTGCCTCCATGGAATATTATGTCATCTTTACAGGCTGTAAGTTTTCTCAGTTATTTTAATATTCTTCAGAATTTTGTGCCTTTTGGAAATTTATTTAACATCACCACGCTTCTATCAGTTCATCAGTTTGTTTCATTGGAAAATTTTATGTTGAATGAAGCTCCTGTCATCTGGCCAGCAACTAAACGTACAGGTACCTTTTTCAAGTTATTTTACATTTAAAAGCGTTATGCTTTCGACCTAGATCGGGTCCTTTACTTAATGATTGTAATGCTAAGAATGGGAATCCTTTCAAAGAATTTTGGGATAAATTTAATGTCAGTTTCATAGGCTCTAGTTTCTATTTTCCTCTAAGTACAGATGATCCTAAAGAGAAATGGGATCAGTTGTAAGTTTTATAATGTATATTATAAATGTTTCTAAAATATAGATTTCCTTCAGAAACTTACCCAGTTCTTGCATTTATTGGACCACCTTCGTCTTTCCCTGTTCGTCCTGAAAACCGTGTATTCCATCGTTATTTAGAATGGAATAGTCATATTAATCTAGTCACTGACAATTTTATAAGTCGGTGGTTAAACAAACCTGTAGTTGGAGTTCATTTACGTAATGGAGGGGATTTTGTGAGTCGTATTTTGATCTATTAGTTTTATTGTTTATTTGAGGAATTGAAAGTAAAAATTATGCTTAATACCTGTATCCAACAGTAATAATCCTTTTTATCTTAGTGTATTCTCTTTTTGAGTAATTCAATTATTTTCTCTGTATTAATTGCTAGGGTAGCGGTAAGATTGTCTGGTGAACAACCAGGTCATGTGTTTAGATTTTCATCTGTCTATTGATGCATGGGAAGAATAATTATTGTCTTTTGAATAGCCAATATAAGTAAACACACAGTACACTTGTGTTCAGTACGGCCTACGATGTTACGGATTTAGGAACGAAAACGATTGAGCTTCTCTGAAACGATCAGTTCTCTTCGGAACTGACAACAGTCAGTTATACTTAACACATCAAACCTCGACGGCTAAGACAGGAGAAAGATGGTATTGCAAGTAACTTGATATTGTGGTAGGACAAGCAACTCATAATAAGTTGTTACTATACTAACAGAATATGACCTTCGAGCATGTAGCAATTTAGCGAACTAAAAAACATGACAACGAATCAGAGGGTAAAGATCATGCGGAAACTCGAATTGTTAGAAAGTATGCGAGCATTTATCGTTCCCGAAGATGTCTTAACCTTTCTAATGAAATCTAACTATTCTTGCAACCGCCTTAGCAACTTGTTTGCAATTTCTTAGTTGCATTACATCTAGGTATTTAATATATATATATATATATATATATATATATATATATATATATATATATATATATATATATATATATATATATATATATATATATATATATATATATATTAATATTAATATAAAGAACCGAGATAATGGTTCACTAATGTAAAAAAGCAGATTCTTAATTTTATTGTTTTTGTTAATGTCCAATTTGTAAGAGGACTAAACAAGCAAGTAAATGCGTATTTTTTTCTGCGTGTGTACTTTAGTCAAATGCTTGCTCACATTTAAAAAGTGGTTTACGTATCTTGTTCTCAAGCGCCCAGTGCCATGGTGATTTTAATGAACTTCCTCCTTACAAAGTAACGGAAGATATGTGCATCCCCCCAAAAGAATTAATTCTTCAAACAATTTCGTACGGTGTTCGTTTAATTAAAGCAAAAAGTATATACGTATCTACTGATAATGATCCTATGTTGTCATTAATTCGCCATCACTTTAGTGATACGACTGTAAGTAAAGAAATGTCATTCATTTTAATAAACTTTTAAAAATATTTGAAAATATTGTTTTTAAATGTTGAAATTACTCAGTTGAATGTTTAATTTCCTTACATTTTTAAATTTATAAAATGTCAAAGTGTTTATATACAATAGGGTTTTATGAGGTTTTTTGTTTAGTCTGTAGTATTTGTAGTGACAGGTATTCTTGTTATGCTGATCGATGGTTAGTTTGTTTTATCAATTTTTTGTATTCTTTTGGAACCTCATCTTTGTCAAGGTTCTTAACTAGTAGATGAGTATCTCTTTAAAAATAGTTTTACTAAGATTCTCTCGAAGGACCTCTAGTTACCTTCTTTTTCATATAAAGTAAAAAATACAGCAAGACTCCATTCGAAATAAATTAGAATCTATAGTGTCTAACATTTGTCGATGAAAACTGTTGAAATTTCATAGAGATACTCCAGGAAAGCCAAAGTAGAAGTATTGTACAATTAATACTAAATAATCAGTCGCTATAAGTTATACTAATTGATATACTAATTATTGATTGTGTTTGTTATTTTAACCAAGTCGCCATTAGTAATGACGTATCGATTAATATTTGCAGGCTCTTCCATATTTTTTTACCTTATCCTGAAGTAGAAGCGAAACGCCGTCTCTTACTAGTCCTGAAAAACTTCCACTTTATAACAAGTGATTAGATTTATGTGTCATCTTCATAAATTAAGATGTGTTGTATTTGATGTGGTTCATTTGTTATGAAGGATTCATATAGAATTTGTAGGGTCACTTGATTCTTATTGGTGAATTTATGAAATTATCAAAGTTTGAGAGTGAAACACCCCTTTGAACAAATGAGTTTATCACGGCCAGTCCCTATTTGTTTGCATACGGTCTTTTAAGTATAATTATAAGATTTCTTTTAATTTCTTAACTTTAATATTCGATGAAGCAGGATACGATTTATAAGTCTTATGGTTGATTAGTGTTAAGGTTGTTGATTTACCTTTAGTAGCCTGATGTGTTCGCTTGTGGTGACGGGATCACCATTTTAGTGGCCCGTGATCTGACTCCAATTTGATCGTAATGATTGGTTGTTATCGTCTATCCTCGTATATAATCATTGACTTAAATCGCGTCAGTTAATAACGGAATTAAATAAGTCAAATAACGAGAATGGAGTTTTGAATGCATATATTTTGTATAATTGTTGATTAGACAAACGAACGGAGGAACGATGCGAAGATGAGAAAGCGAATCAAAATTGACGAGCGGTGGAGATGGCTGGTAAGCCAACTCTCATTTAACAAAGAGTTAATCAATATTTATAAGCACATCAAGATAAATTACAGACATGTGATGAGTAACGGGATAAGAAGTGTACATACGCCTACGCGCTCATATAAAGACAGTCAAGACATTGATAAGCGAATAATTAACAAGGTCAGAATGTGACTCAAATAGAATGAATAGAATGAGCTGTCCGAAAGTTAGAATAATGAGGTATTTGGGCTTAACATAATGACAGACACTACATACCTTTTATCGCATATGTATGTATAGAAGTTAGGTTTCTGAAGAAAATGTTTTGGAATGTATACACGTCTATCAAACAAGTGGTACGACTTTGCCTCTAAATTGTCCTTAGTTTTATCATCCTACTCCTCGGAGTTTCATTCTTTGTGAAACTGTATTTTGGGTAATTTATGGTTGTATCCGTATTTGCCAACGGTTGTTTGTATTTATTTATTTCTAAGTAGGTTCATGTGTTTTCCTGGGCAGTATTGTAATGGTAGCCAAGTCTGTCAGTTGCCCATCTTTTCATCCAATATAAGACCCATATAAGGGGCAGTTTTCAATGCACTAACATATGGTGTATATCGTACTTTTGTTGTAGAACTTGTTCCGTTCTCTAAGTAGTTTTCGAAAATATGGGTATCTTCATCTATTTGGTATTTCAGTAAATCAACGTTAAGTAACATCATTCATAAATTGTTCATGTGAAACATAATCAGTAATAATTACGAAAAATTGATCACTGATCAGAAAGATGTTCAACATTAGCTGTAAGATTTTCTCGTCTTTTACAGTAGATATTGTATGGGATGAAACTGTCTTTTGACTGGTTTTCAAATACATTTGTTTCATATAGGTTTTTTCGGCATTTTCAGTTGATGAAAATGCTTTTTAAACATTCGTTTTACTATGGACCGTTTGCTATGAAAGTTTTATAAAATACATTAGTTCCAGTCTTCGTTTATAATTCCACACTGTTCAGATAAAACAGCACACCAACTAACTCTGGTTTTATATTGCGTACATTTAAGAAGTTCAAGAACACTTGAAAATGATAACGACGTAAATTATAAGTAAATGATAATGCACTGAATATATTAATGTTTTTCAATTTGTCAAATACCCACTATTATGTGCGGTTCACTTTGCTTTACGCATCGTACAGCAAAACTGACCAATTTCAATTCATATCTCTCTCTATTACCATTAATCTATTTTCAGTTACTTCATTACATAATCATCTAATGTGTTTTAATTCCATGAGTTCTAATCACTATTTCTATGTTATAGAACCTTCCCTCCCAAACTCTATATATTCGAAACAAAAATTTTTATGACCTCATTAACTCTAACGGCATCTTTGCTACATCATGTTACTTATATTCATCCTTCATCACCCTCTTATGTCTAAATATGTCAATATCTGTAATAACGTTGAATTTCAAATATTTTAGGTTGTAAGCAGCTGATGAGAACCTAACGAAATAAAATAAATTCATATTATTCTGTACCAACCTTTGTTCTTGCTCTCTTTAAAATATATATTTACTTATTTGAACACATAAATATTGGTACAAAGGGGCACCAGATATATATGCGCCTCACCAGAAACTAATATTCCATCCAATAAATGGCAATGACGACACATAAACATTTTAGCGTCCAGTTTGCACACCAAGAAAATCCATGGGGCGTAATACGCTATTATTGAAATTACTTTGTATTGAACTGAACAAATGTCACCTAACGTTACCTAGAAATCCATCCAGCTGTGCCTTCACAGAAACTGTGTCGGCGCTCAGCTAGTTGTTAGCGGATCATTTATGTATCTCCAACTTGTGCAGTGATGCATTCGTGCTCTATGGTAATATTCTGCAACTATGACTTAAATAAGTTGAACGAGACTTCTTATGACCACATCTTCCCTACCCTGCTAACAAGGGTAAAAAAAACCCAGTGTAATAATGAAAATTTTGTTGATAATACATTCAAGTCAATCGTTTATGCATCAATTACAATGATTAGAATTTATAAACTATGTATTTGTTGCTAAACACAAATCATAGTGAAAATATATTGAAAGTTCATAAGCAATGAATAATTTAATGTAACGGAATTTCAATCAAATCAATACTGATTTGTTTTCGCGTAAGTTGTGATTGGGGAATGCATATCGATAGCTCTAAACACCTTCCTAACCCTAAAAAACTGAATCAATCTATAAAATACTTGCACGTCATAACGTATCTACTCTACGTTCCTTCTTAGCATTGAGTAATTAATATTAAACATTTTCTCCACCTCTACACGAGAAACAGACACTAATTAACTATTTACTCGGAATGACTATCAGATGAAACTGGATAGACGGTCTCTAAAGGAATAAAAGTACTGATCGAAGCTGACCTCTTGATGCACTATGATCGAAAATGCGGTTAACGTTTGCAGCTGCATACAAAGTAGGTGCTGTCATGAATTCCCAAACGAAGCAGTAGAACAGTGATGCATACATCCAGAACACAGACAACAGCGTGAAGATGCTATGGTCATGTATAGATGAAACACTATTGATTGCTTTCACGGCGCTCCATTTACACAGTAAACATGTCAAATTACCGAATGACCATAGGTATCTATTAGCAGTCTTTGATATCAAGTTGAGAATATCCACACATTCCATGAATTGACTGAATCAGTGAACGATAACATTATTGGGATTTGATCTCGACATTTGTACTAACGGTAGGAGGATTCGATCAGGGAGTCTGTCTAGAGGTGCAGACTTTGTACTTTGTAGAATGAATCCTAGATTTTTGTTTATTGCTAATGGCCTGTCATACGAGTTCGGCTTACTTCAGCAATTTACTCTTGACTCAAACTTTCGAAATCCAATTTCTACACGATTTATGCAAAAAACCCACAAGTATCTTGTAGTGTTTTAGAAGTAAAGACATAGTAACTAGTGATCCGAAGTTCGTTTTTACAGTTGTCTATGCACTTTTTTCGATTCGTTTTTACTACAACATAACTCTTGGTTACGGCTTACTCATGGACCTGGATTATGTTTTAAATTTCCCGAACTGTTTGAATGGAATTAAATCATAGTTGTAACAATCGTAGTTTGTGCCAACTGAAAATCATATGAGGTAAATGAACTCTACTTATTGGTGATTCACAATTCTTTTACACTTTCATGCATGTATCTCTTATTGATTGTCAATAGTTTCTCAGCTTGTCTCTGAAAAAATGTTTTTGTTTAATATTTTGTGTTTTCGGTGTTTCTGAACAATCAGTACTTGATTATAAATATGACTCCATTTCTTAAAATAATTATTAGGTAAAACGTGTTGTGTGGGAACCTAATAGAAAACCTGAAGAAGACTTGGCATTGTTAGGGCGAATCGATTTAGCTATCCTCAATTGTGTGTCAACTTACTCTGCTGCGGTGAAACGTGAACGGGATGCAAAGAATTTACCCAGTATGTTTTTCGGATTAACTATTGAAAATCAAAGAGGATTGGAAGTATTGTGCAATTCGACAAATAATGATGCCAACTACTGGTGGTCAAAACTGTACAGAAAATAAGTTCTTAGTGTATCATAAATATGTTAGTGTTTTCTCCATTTCTTAGATTGTATTATTCGCTTGTTAACTTTTTTATCATTATAAAACTCGCATTTATGTCATAGTATCCGTGCCTCGTTAATACGTGACAAGTTAAGATTCATAGCTTTGCACTTATAGTAATAAATAAAACATACATTTATGTTTTCGGCACAAAATTATTACAATATTTCGACCAATTGTCAAGAAATACATAAAACATATAGATCATCAATGTAGGCGGTCTATGTGGATTTATTTATATTTATTTATTTTAACGCATAGGTATAGGTACAATGAGGCACCAAGTACATATGTGCCACACGAATCTCAATTGATTTGTGTGAGGGCTGTGATACTGCCCGGGTGCCCAAACCGAAGTAGGTGGTTTTCTTGGGGGGCCACACCCCGAGCCTTCGACCTGAACGTCTGACCCACAAGGCAGTGGAGCATCGTAAGGAGATACAGTCCCATGGTAGCCGGTGACCAACGATTGGTTCATACGCCATTTGTTCCCGCAGGATACTGGAGCCAGCCCATGTGCACCATTGGTTTGGGATCGGTTAAAGCGCCGGAAATTCGCTTTTGGTCCTCTCATTTTCGAAAACAACAGTAATGCCACGAGAAGGCAGTGAGTAGGACTTCCCTGGCAGAGGCTATATACGCGTGGCCATGTGAGAGCATTTCGAGAGGGAGAGCGGACTCTCCCCACTCTCGACCGTACCAGGGTATTTGGGGGCGATCTATGTGGATGGTCTCGGTCTACTCATGTTGATCGATCTGGCTTACATCGAGATCACATCCCGAGGCTAATACTTGACGTGAATTATCATTTCAAGATACCGTATTGTACAGGCATGACATTATTAAAGAAGTGTACTAGTAATAATAGTTTGGGGAAATAGTGCAACCACCGATGCATGTGTCAATCCATGGCGTGCTACGATTAATACGCGTTGTTTGATCTTAGGATAGCTCACTAAACTGTTCGGCATTCACTGGCTTACCTGCTGGATGGTTTGATCGGAGCTCAACTTACAGATCATAGGTAGACGGTAAATACGTTAGAGGGGCAGATAGCACTGACGACTACAATGGACACCTTGTCGAAACTTAAGACTTAGATCCAGAAGCAGTATCCTAACATATTTTAAAGCACTGCTAGATGGTACACAAGGCCACGTTATTTCGACTTTGAGTGCCAAGGGAATATGTTGGTCGGCAATTATTGAAGGCTTCGGTTGTCGGCCACAACCGTCAGGGCATTCGTTTCGTGTTCATTACAGATGGAAAAGCCGGGGCGCACTCTGATGGACATAGTCAAGCGCCATCTACCACACTTGACAAACAAAGACTAGACCACAATGTTACACTAAGTCACCAGTTTCCCTCAGATGGACCTGTGTCAGACGACAGATGATACTAAACTTCAAGAGTCGCACCGTACTTCTCACACATAATGTCTTACCGTCTACCGTGTCAACCTAATAATGTCCCAGTAGCCAAAAGGAAGACGGATAAACTCTGTTTTTTTGTCTAATAAATGTGCCACAAACATCTCAGCATCCTATAGATCAATCCATTAGAGGTTAACATCGTACGGACTAGTATAAATGAAGGTAGTGGTGATGGTCGTCTCGTGAATGCTGCTAAAGGGTCGTGTTTTTATGTTGAGAATGGATCTGTTCCAATTTGGTTACACTAATACTGCGCTGCCATTCTGGTTACACAAAATTCTATGACGTTTTGCTATTATGTAGTTTTAACGTTCATTAAGAGTCGAGGAAGTGTAGCATCCTTCAAAAAATGCATTTTTGTAGGATAAATCTTAGCTTTCAGATGTTATGCTGAACATTGAAACAAATGCTGTTATGAAGTCAGACTTTGGTTGGCATAATTTGATTTACAACTGATTGATCAATGGGTAGTGACCAATGTCATGTGTGTCAGGTCGGATCGGATTACATCAATCGAGTTGCGATTTGGTCAATAGTCGACGTCGCCTGTAATATGTCGAGATGTTGAAGGTAGTCGACAGAAATCCCTGAACCTGGGTCTCAAGCTATTTAGCTTTCGACAGCAAGGGTTACCTGTAATCTTGAGAGAACCGGTGCCCTCAGACGGATTCGATCTCGAAAGCTTGTGCAGCTTTCAATTTCGTGTCGAACTTATATTCTGTTTAAGCTAAGTCAGCCAGTCTATTTTGACTGTTTTTCATAATTGAGTTAAAACCAGGGCACATCCAGTTTGTTTTGCATTATCAAAGAATAATATCCAAACACTTGTTTGTTCACTTTAACTCCCCAAGATCACCGAGAAGTGGTTTTGGAAATTAATTATCAAACTTGAAGTTTTTATCTGTGATAGTTTCGCTTCGGTCTTTCCAGGTTCTGTTGTTTAACCTTATCACAATCCCTCCTTTCTTATCTTGTGGTGTATTTCACGGCATTTAGATTCACTGGCCTTCTTGTATGACAGGGGAAGAGGCGGGATAGAACGTCATTGAGCGTCTTCACTTTATCATGTATGTGTTGAGTAACCACACAACACCAGCTAACTGTTTATTTAGATAAATTGAAGCATTCATTTGTAACACAATATGAACTCAGTGAATGCCTGAGATATCGTAGGACCTGAATGTGTTAGACGTCCTTCCGGTAAGCACTTTATTTCACACCGCTATAAAGCTTAACCGTCAGTTTTAGTTCACGATCATTTATTCCGAGTTTCAGCCTCCGGTCGAAGGCTATGATGAATGCCCATTATTCCGTTCATTTAGTAGAAGTCAAACTAATTTTTCCCGTGATATTGAATGAAAACCTGATTTTTATAAACAGGCCTTTACCGAAAACATTTGTAGATATAGGTAGGTTTCACTAAAAATGTCAGTTTTTTTCGCACAAGAGAAAAGCAACTTATTAAAATGTGTCAGTAGCGATAAAAGTAGGTGGTAGTGAACGTATTTTATGGTTCATGAGTGCAATAGGGATAATTTACTGTCAGTGATAATGACTCAAATTCTAGCGTTCTCCGAGAAATATTCACCACGCCTACAAGACTATTTACTCAACTTTCAAAAGACCTCGTTTTAACTAGTTTTTGCTGAAAAGAAACTTTACTGAGGCTTCAGACCTATTTATTAGATTGCTCAGATCTAAAAAAAACTATGGGTAGTACCAACTAGTCCATCTCACGATTCCGTTATCAACTGCTTACCAGTTAGTTGACTCATGGACACATTTTTTGTCAATAATTAGTTTGAATTCTACCTTCTAATTGATATATTTTATTCTCTTCCTTTGCAAACAGTCGCGTTATGTCAACCAATGTTTCTGGTGTTCATTCTCACGCTCTTTTTTCCTTTCTATCTCTTTTAGCACCACGATTGTAAAGCTCAAATGTGGAGTTTGGGGAATTGTGGGTTCGTCAACGTCACAGTTTGTACGAGCTGCCATTTCTAAACAGGATATAACAGTAGTAGACTCATAGTACAATGCTAAAACAAACCCACCTGTTAACTTATTGGTATATTTGCATGAATATTTTATCACATATTTTGACTGTATTTATTTAGTAACTCAAACTGAGTAGTATATTATCTGTTAACTCATGTTGCAATTTGTTGATCATATATGTAAACATGGTGTGTGGCTGCTGTTAGAATTATACACATTATAAACTCTGGTTACGTTGGATTTGTGCTCCAAAAATATCTTTAAAAAAGTGACATACTTGTAAATAAGTGTATGGAATTGCCAAACCGTGAGGAAATGACAAAACGTTCATACAGAAGTCGTGAGTGTTTCTTCATACAAAACCTTTTGTTAACACAGAAGGTTGAATTCGTTTAAGTTTCCCTTTCCTTCCCGTTTGTTGTGGTAAATAAATCCTCAAAATAATTATTTCTGTATGTCTAATATTGGTGGTGACCTCACTAGTTTTACTAAACGCATCCTATCTTGAGGTGCTTGGTTACGTATTCTTACAGAATCACGAGTGAGTACGTTATGCTACTCATTATTCACAACTACTAGACAACTTAGCCCGAACGCTTATCGACATATCTCAATTTTCCAAATATATCTACGAACTCATTAAATCCTAGCTTCTGATTTTACTAGGTTGGTACCCTTCGATCATAAAAGTATTATGGCTAATGCGTTGTTAAATCCCGAATATCCGTTGCATTTTTAGCAGCGAGATCGACGTGATTTGGTACGTCGAAAAACACTGTTTCTTGTGGTGACGTAAGACATATTTTCTTTGTACATTACTTACTTACGCCTTGTTAAGTTTGCTTACATTGTTCCTACTCGTTTCCTTTCTACTCTTTTGTATATTGTTTTGTACTACTTATTTACATTCAGTAAGCAATTGTATTTCCAACAATTTTACACCTATGTTGTAACGCAAGTTGTAGTGTATTATTCTGAATTATTCACATATATTTATGACGTTTATTGTACTTATCATTGTATTTATCATTATAATTACTGTACCTTAATCACTGTAACGTTTATCCACAGTTTCGTGCATTTGTTTAAACGCAACAGTTTCCATATTGTTTTGCTCTTGGTTCGGATTTCGGTTGTTCATAAACTGCTATCAAATTTAGACACAGCTATCAGCTGTCCTTTGTACTATCGTATGTTATAATTATTCTTTATGTTACTGTTACAGGAAGCCTTTTATCTTTATACTTGAAGCACGCGTTTAAACGCCACGGACACCTCACAAGTTGAGGTATGTAACTAAATTTTGTGTATTATTCAATAAAGAACCGCTATTATAGACAAGTCGTTGTTTTGGAACATCGGTTTCGCGCGTATCTCAATCAGGTCAAGTAAACGCTTCGATAGAACTAACACGCCTGTTACTCCCAATGAAGCATAGGCCGCCGACCAGCATTCTCCAACCCACTCTGTCCTGGGCCTTTCTTTTTAGTTCCATCCATTTCTTGTTCATTTTTCTCATTTCTATCTCCATTTCCCGACGTAGTGTGTTCTTTGGTCTTCCTCTCCTCCTTCGACTTGTCTTGTGACGCAGTTCGGTGCTTTCTTCAATGTATGTCCTATACACTTCCAGCGTTTCTTCCTCCACTGGGATCTGATTTGTTCTCTCTCATGGTAGGTTGTTGCTAATAGTGTCTGACCAACGGATCCGAAGTATTTTGCGTAGACAACTGTTAATAAACACCTGTATCTTCTGGATAATGGCTTTTGTAGTCCTCCAAGTTTCGGCCCCATACAGTAGAACTGTTTTGACATTTAAACGTACTGAGAATTCTTCGTCTCTTTATTTATCTCACCTCCAAAATGACGGTAAAGACTCTCAAACTGTTTAAGATTAAAACAGAGCCAGTGTTTTCAAGTCTATGTTATTCTGAACTGATGATATCAAAGCCCAGTTCTGCAACGCAGAATCTGAGTTCAAGGAATGCGGTGTCACATACTCGAGCGCATGATTCTTCGAAGTGAAGGAACTACTGCACGGTTTTAACAGGTATATCTACTAGTGATATTTTAGAACCTCACGTCTATCTCTGACGATGAAACCCATTCGCGACTGCATTGTTTGCTGCCGCATACCTGAGGCATACAACAAGTTGTAGTCCGGTTACCGATACTCAGCAAGAGTGCTTGTGTGAAGACCGTTATAAGGAAGTCGAAGAGATTAGTGATCAGCAAGTAAAGTGTGTTCTTGACCTTCCATCGAATGTTGCTGAACAGCAGTGCTGTACACCAAAATACATAGCCAGGATTTCGCTGCATTTTAAATATACAATAATGTAAGTGAAAGCGTGCCAATCGACTATGAAACGCTTGCAACTTGAGATGAGGCTTTAGGCTGTCGGTAAGAGCGTTCTACCAACCCGTTCGCTTGTGAGTGATAAGCTATTGTGCGGTTCATAAAGGTGTAGTCAAACAAATGCAAAGTTCAAATGCGAACTGGCTCCCATGGTTTATAGTGAGGGTTGAAGTGTGATTGGAATTTTCCAATCGTCTTTCGATGAAGTCGTGGGTCACCGTTTCAGCTGTAATTTTCTTGGTGACTCCTTATCCTCGAGTGAGATGGTCTACATAAGTTAGGAGATAAGATTATATATTTTTGAGTCTGGTAAAGGTTCTACCAAATTCAGATGAACACGATCGAAACAAGCGTCGGGTTTTATGAATGAGCACAATGGACATTCATTGTCTCTAATTATCTTAGATTTCTGGCCGTGAACTCCCTCTCGTCTCTATTTATCCCAAGCCAGCAAACCCCTTCCCTAAATCCAAAAAAAGTCGTTTCCGACTCAATATTTTGTAATGTTTAGAGTAATGCCATGTTGTTACAGATAATTCCCCTCAAATAACTTCCGTCGGCTTAAGTCGAGGTTGGGACTTACGTCGCGATAATTCCAAACAAACGACTGATATAAAAACATCAGCAACAACGAAAATACGGTAAGCGGGTTTGAGAAAACTCTGTAACAGCTTAGGTTGATCTCAAGCAACTAAGCCTATATCAAAACAACATAGTTCAGATATTTATTCACTTCTTTATTTTGTTTAGGCGTTATATTTCTAATTATCTTATATTGTATGTTGAGAGGTTTTGTTTGTCTGAGTAAGGAATCGCACGCTCCACTGTGACTGCACGAAGATCAAAAGAAAGACCTATTTTCCTACGAGTCTGGTTTCTTCTATTAATAACGCGAGGGTTACCATAAGGCATGAACATTCACGTTACAACGAGTCTATATTCACCGAATGTGGTGGTCGATTTTCCGTTTTCCACATGCAAATTGGAAACCGAATCTTAAAATGCCCAAAGTTATTCTTCAAAAAAAACTAACTGTGCGGGATGGATAACTTTCGTCATCGCATCAGTGGTGTATTACAGACGTCAATTTCCACTGGCTACGGTTGCCACCAACGCGTTTCAGTGGAAAATTTTTCCGAAAGATTAGTCTTGACAGAGGGGCTGAGGACAGTGAAACCACAGGATTAAACACTTGTGAAGTTCAGAAAAATGTGAAGGTGGGAACTGTTTAACATTTACCAAAACTAAAGGCGAAATAACTTTTACTAATCTGACGCGGGCGAAAGTTGTTGCAAACCTGAAAGTAGAGAAATATAACATTTATTCACTTTAAATGAAAAGGGAGATGTCATATACCTGGAGAAATTGGCTAATATATTCAGACAGAAACACAGGAAATCGTTGTTGCGCCACTAAATGAGAATCGATAACTTTATAATGAACAAATAATGGATGTTTGATACGCGGAAAAAAACTGAATGCTTAAGGCATCCGGTCACATCAACGATGGCTAAAGCTAGATATTTTCGCTGACGGAAAGGTCCATTGATTCTTGGACATTTCTTGACACCTAACATCTTAAATCCCTCAACGTTTTTAAGCAAAAAATTTTGCATTTATTCTAATGAAAGGTGACTGTTTCAAATGTGCATGGAAATATGGAATGAAATAGGTTTGATGACTGATAAATGAGGGGCGAATCGGGCTTGACAACATTACATCCAAATGATTGTAGCGGTAAATAATTCCCCAAATCAAATAGCTCTGTAAGTTTTCGACATTGGATGCTGACCACAGTTTTAGTGGACTCATCTAGCTGAAGGCGCTCGGTCAAGCATCCGCACCAGATCACGTGTGGGAACGCCGTGCTCAACATCTGCCGCAATCGCTAGCCAGATTAGTGCAAACGATCCTCGATATATTGATAGCTTATCAAATATATCTTCGATCTCCTCACTTCTGTCTTTTGATTTTACTTGGTGGGTGCGCTTCGTATTAGAAGGTGTTACTGGTTAAAGCGTTGTCAAACTCCGAATACCTGTGGCATCTTCATTGGTGAGCCCGACGTGATCTGGTACACTATATTGTAAACTGTGAGTCTGTTCCTTTTTGTGATTTTATATATCATTGTCTTATTTTAATTTTTTTAACATTGTGATATTTCTTTTCCCTTGTTTTTGGGTTTATATATATATTTCCTACTCGTCCACTTTTCGTACTTGATATATTACTATGACTGAACAAACCCATAAAGTATTTAAGTTAAAGACTGTGTCCCCACCCTCTTTCCAACTTATGCATTTCTGGCCAGACAACATCAAAACCTGGTTTTGTTACGCAGAAGCCGACTTCTTCGAGCACGGTGTGAACGATGCGCGTACACAATTCCTCGCAGTATTCAAGGCACTACCGCGCGAATTTAACACCTAGTATGTTTACTAGTGATGTTTCTGATCCATACCAAACCCTGAAACATGCCATCCTTAAACGCGGAGATCTAACCGATCGACAAAGGTTAGACCAACTCCTCAACAACATCGACCTGCAACACGGTTCTGTCACAGACATGTTGCAAAGAATGCGAGAAGTCATGGGCCAAAGAACCTTCGATGACGGCCTATTCAAACAACTTTTCTTATCCAAACTTCCTCAACAGGTGCAAGCTGTTTCGGTCTCGTTCCAAAACAACGCCGTAGACGAGCTAGCTACATCTGCCGACCCCATTCTCGAAATCACTAGGTCTTCTAACGCCGAGGTTTTTTCAGTCAAAGAAAAGCCTCAAACGACCCAGAATGACATAACACAGTTATGTCATACACTTACGCGTTATCTCAAACTCTGTAACGACCGTAAACGATCACTTACGCCGCGGAGAAGCACATCACGTAGGCGATCTGTATCTAGAACTCGAGAGACGGATAATCCTGATTGGTGCTGGTACCATAACCAGTAGGGAATGTCTGCCAGAAATTGCAGAAAACCCTGCAATTTTCCCAACGCGAAATCCGTCGACGCGAAGAACGTTTCGGGAAACTTCCAAGCCTGCACGCGTTAACGGCGACCGTAGCCGGCGAACATAGCCGTGATTTATATGTCACTGATGTGATAACGAGAGTTCGCTACCTCGTAGATACTGGCGCAGAGGTTAGCGTTCTTCCAGCGAATTCCGACGACAGACTACACGAGCCTGTTTTAAATCTACAGGCGGCAGACGGAAAGCCTATCGCTACTTATGGCCAAAGGTATGTTTATCTTAACGTGGGTTTACGCAAACCCATTCACTGGATTTTTGTTGTTGCAGATGTTTCCATGCCAATCATTGGTATGGACCTTCTACAACACCACAACTTAATTATCGATACGCGCAAACGGAGGATAGTAGACGGAAACACTAATTTATCTGTTTGCCTGACTTCTTTTTCTGGTTGCAGGTTATCTCCAGACACTATTAAGCACACTATAGACCCCTTCTACCAACCATTTACCAATCGCAACCGAAATTGCCGTGTGTAACCAGCAATGTTACACATCACATCACGACTACAGGACCACCTGTCTTAGCGAAAGCACGCCTACTGGCCCCCAAAAAGTTAAGGTTGGCGAAAAACGAATTCGACCATATGATAAACTTAGGAATCATACGACCGTCAAATAGCCCATGGGCATCTCCGTTGCACATAGCCCCTAAAAAGGACAGCAACGATTGGCGTCCAACTGATGACTATAGGAGATTGAATGCAAAAACCATTCCCGATCGTTACCCGTTGCCCCACATTCACGATTTGACAGCTACCTTGAAGGGTGCAACTGTCTTTTCAAAAATTGACTTGGTAAAAGCTTATAACCGAATTCCTATGGCCACTGAAGACATTTCAAAAACCGCTATTATAACGCCCTTCGGACTCTATGAATTTTCGCGAATGCCTTTCGGTCTGAGAAACGCGGCACAGACTTTCCAAAGGTTCATAGATGACGTTTTTCGAGGTCTCAACTTCGTATATGCATACGTTGATGACTGTCTAATAGCAAGTCCGGACAGAGAATCACATCTCCAGCATCTGGACCTTGTTTTCGACCGACTACAAAAACATGGCATTACTGTAAACATTCAGAAATGCCAAATCAAAACCGAATCCTTAGACTTCATAGGACACACCATAGATGCGCATGGCATTCGACCCCTTAGAACAAAATTGGCGGCCATTCTGGATTACCCAGAACCGACCACCATCAAGCAATTGCGCACGTTTAACGGTCTGGTAAGTTTTTATAGACGATTCATACCGAAATGAGCGTTACTTATGAAACCCCTTACCGACCAACTTCGTGGAAATGCGAAATCCATTAATCTGGATGACGCTGCACGAAAAGCATTCTCCACAGTTAAGGAACATATCGCTCGAGCAGCAATGCTTGCTCATCAGGACCCTAAAGCGCCCATTAGCATCTCAGTAGACGCATCCGACTAAGCAATCGGAGCAGTCTTACAACAATGGGTTAACCACTCCTGGCTACCTTTGGCATTTTTCTCTAGACGGTTGCTAGACACTGAATCGAGGTTCAGCACATTCGGTAGGGAACTCCTAGCTATGTATTGTGCTGTCCGGCATTTTCAACACTATATCGAAGTCCGTGAATTTACCATTTTTACCGACCATAAACCACTTACTTTCTCCTTAAGCTCTTCTTCGGACAAGTACTCACCACGTGAGTCTCGACAACTGGACTACATTTCGCAGTTTACTTCAGATATTCGACACATTTCTGGAGCAAACAATGTAGTTGCAGACGCCTTGTCTCGTATAAATTCCTTGAACAGTTCCCAAGGAATCGACCTTTTAAAACTCGCCCAACTTCAAAAAGAAGACAGTGATCTTCAGCACGAGTTGGCCTCAACAACACTTAAACTGCGCATTAAACAGATTGGAACAGGTAAGGAAACCTTACTTTGTGACACATCTACAGGTAGGGATCGCCCAATCGTGCCGAAACAATATCGACGCAACGTCTTCGATACGTTGCACAGACTTTCTCATCCAGGTGTTCGTGCAACCATCAAGCTTATAGCAGAACGGTTTTGCTGGCCTGGTATGAATAAAGATGTGAGGGAGTAGGCACGCTCCTGTGTAAGCTGCCAGAAATCTAAGGTTATTAGGCATAACAAATGTCCCTTAGGCTCGTTTAAAACTCCCGATGCTCGCTTCGACCATGTTCATTTGGATTTGGTAGGACCTTTACCAGATTCGAATGGATATTCTTGTCTTTTAACATGCGTAGACCGTTTTACTCGATGGCCAGAAGCAGTACCCATCAAAGACATTACTGCTGAAACAGTGGCCCGCGCCTTCGTCGAGAGGTGGGTAGCAAACTTCGGCTGCCCAACAACCATTACTACAGATCGTGGACGTCAGTTTGAATCTGAACTGTTCCGTTGTCTGACCATGAAACTAGGAATCACTCGCATTCGAACGACGGCCTACCACCCACAAGCAAACGGGTTAGTAGAACGTTTTCACTGACAACTAAAAGCGTCACTATCAGCCTCAAACATTTCTCAGTGGACTGACGCTCTTCCACTAGTCTTACTAGGCATACGCAATGCAGTGAAATCTGGCATTGGACACACTGCATCTCAACTCGTTATATTACGACCCTTCGACTTCCAGGAGAGTTCGTGGATCCTTCATCCTCTTCGATGGACATGGATCTAACCTCCTACGCGAACAGGCTTACAAACGCAATGCGTTCAGTCAAACCTGTTTCCACTCGACCACAATCAGCTGATGTTTTCGTTCAACCTGACTTACTACATAGTACACACGTTTTCGTGCGTCGAGACTCGCATCGACGACCTCTCGAATCAACATAGGAAGAACCTTTCAAAGTCCTTCAACGCGAATCTACGTATTATATAATCGACAAGAACGGAACCAACGAAAGCATCAGTATCGATCGCCTCAAAGCAGCGTATATAGAAGGAAATCCTATTCACGTCGATTTTCCTTCAATACAATCGCACGACACAACTCCTGCACTTATAATACCTCAATCGACAGCAGACGCACACGTTGATACTTAGACAGTATCCGAAAATAAACTCAAAACAACGCGTTCTGGAAGAACTGTAAGATCTCCAGAACACTTGAACGATTACTGCACGTAAGACACAATTTAACATTTTATATCCTCTCGATTTTCACTGGTACTATATATAATTTTTTTTAAAAAAACCCGAATTTGATATGCCTATATATTATTATTTTTTTATTTCAAAAAAGAAAAAACAAAAAATAACAATATTATAAGAATCCTTTTTTACGCTGTTACGTGAGCATGAGTTTATTTTCCATTTTTTCCGCTCGCTTTGTGTTTTTACGCGCGTACGAATGTATTTCGGCATGCACTTACATATTTTTCTTTTCTTTTCCAGGACGACTGGAAGAGACGATGAAAAGAACGATGAAGTCGCGAGAAACGAAAATCTGCATTATACCTTTTTTTTACTATATTGTACATCATGGTCCATTATAGTAAGAAAAGACGATCAGACGCTGCTAAACCTAGCAAGCTATCAGAAGAGTGTTTACCAACGAAAAACTCGTTGGGTTTAAACTTCTGGCTGGCTGGGTCATCACTACCCCACTAGGGGGGGAATGATCTGTAGCGGTAAATAATTCCCCAAATCAAATAGCTCTGTAAGTTTTCGACATTGGATGCTGACCACAGTTTTAGTGGACTCATCTAGCTGAAGGCGCTCGGTCAAGCATCCGCACCAGATCACGTGTGGGAACGCCGTGCTCAACATCTGCCGCAATCGCTAGCCAGATTAGTGCAAACGATCCTCGATATATTGATAGCTTATCAAATATATCTTCGATCTCCTCACTTCTGTCTTTTGATTTTACTTGGTGGGTGCGCTTCGTATTAGAAGGTGTTACTGGTTAAAGCGTTGTCAAACTCCGAATACCTGTGGCATCTTCATGTTGTTTTTTCATAATATGGGGTGAAAAGAAGGCTTCATCACTGCCAACAAAATTCTGAGTGATATAGGTCGAGAGGGAACTGCATGAAAACCATAAGTGCAACCATCTTGGTGGCTTCTCGAGAATTTATCACTGCTAAGGGAACTTCAGGTTCTACTCTGCTTATCATATTGTGTTTGTGACTCTTGAGCTACTCTCACTAGTGGATTGAACAAGGCCTGTTGTGCAGATAGCACAAAAAGACAATGAGTGTGGTTAAACTGCGCTTTATGCACGTGGAAATCTGTAAAAAGTAAGTTTCCTCAAGGTATAATCCTCTATCTAATTCGTCTTTTATTTTATGTAAATTACTTACAAACTGTAGCAGAGTAATCTATTCCACTCTTTGCAGATTGTATCAAGATTTAGGGACTCACATAGAGTATGCCAGATTGAATAATATTACCGATGAAATAAATCCACAAGTTGAGTGGATGTATGAGAGGTCATTAGAAGTCAATTTAAACATGAATTTAGCGATGCAGATATAATTCATGTCACTACGCAATAAGTGAAATTCTATTACCTGAAGTAACAAATCACAGAGATCCATGAGTCATAAAAAGCAATTACTTTAGACCTAGTAGAAACTGTCAGTCTACCGCTACCGAAGGTTTCAGGTCTTTATTGGTTATTGGTAAGTCATTTGTTTACTTGGACGAAGAATTGCTCAGGGTAATATCAGCGCTTTCCGTTGATCTTCACATTGCTACGGATTAAAAGGACTAATATAGGTCGATTGATCTTCCATCCTTAATACTGAAGGCTTGGCCAATTTTGATGGACAAATTAATCTGTTTAATTTAAATAAATGGTACATTCCACTAAAAATTCGAATCACTTCACAGTGGTCCATATCGCTATGTACTACACGAGCATGATGACAGATATACTTTGAGAGTTTCTTGATATATTGCTTATAACACTATTGCACAGTTCTATACTAATTTTTGAATTTGCTCAAGGTCGTGCTACGTGTAACGACCTTGAGAATGAGGTACGCTATCCTTGCATCAGCAAGTTTGATTGTTTCATCCATCGTCGTAACGAATACCTATTACCGCAAGAAACAGTTTTACCCTACTGTCGTGTACTTGACTAATAATCAGCCATCCCTCTCTGTAAGCTTTTTAAAATGTCTAAAACCTCCATCAGATCCTCCTCTTTCAATGTGTTGTTATACTATTCTTGGTCGTAAAAGCACTCACATATGCTTTCTTCGGTCGGCTTCAAAGAGCAGAAGTGGATGTAAGTTTAATTAGTGATTTATCACCCGTGTTTAGAATCTTGTTTCACAGTCATGGTATGCTTTCTTCGACATGTGCTTGGTTTTTGCATTCTTCCAGAACGAATTGGGAGTCGAATTTCTTTTCTTGTTCGCTATACTTTTATTTGTCAGAGCCTTTCACTGGCTGATCGAAGAAAGGGTCGATTATGTAAAGTCTATTAATAATTCTTATCGGTTTTTAGATGGAAAGGTCTCCTGTCATTAGTGTTCTGTTTCACCTTCGAACAATGAGTAGGTTTATATTTTAACAATTGATTTTCCAGTGCTTATTACTCTTCTAACTCTCGTGGACGTATATTTCATCAAAACAGCCTACTGGAAGCCTGCTACCCACGGAATATCCGTACATTTGGCTTTGGGGATAGAGGTTTGAATATTATTAACTTTGTTCATACCTTACATTTGTCTCTAATTGTATACTTTGGCTGAATAAGTGAACAGGTTTTATGTGTATTAGGTTTCACTGTCATTCTGGGTATGCATCAATGGTCACCTTAAATATCAAACGGATTAATTGTGCGAAAAAAATGTTTTTTGTACTTGCCACGTCACTGTCTACTGTAACTTACGTTAGTTGGCAGGATAGGTATAAAACATAGGAAGCATTGGTGTTGTCAGTATTCAGTCTAAACCATCTATGAATTTATGGGTTGTGAGATAATGTTTTCTTTGCGGTATGATCGGTGAAACTCTATTTTATGGACGACCTTTGAACGTACGTTTAAGTGACCTTGAGAACATTAGCCAATCAGAAGAGAGTTGGTATAAAGTAAAAATATATTATGAAAAACTGATGAATTACAATGGATATTCTTCTTTCACATGATTTAGGAACTTGTTAAGGTTGGATGAAGGTTCAGAAGTTCTGAAATCATAATGCATGCGGTATAGGAACTCGTCCATATGGCTCCATAATAATTGTCCTCTGGAACCGTGGTAGGGTCTTAAAAAATACTTCAGCCTAGACCACATGCCTTCAATATTGTTTGTATGAATCCCGTCATTGGATCGAGAAAATCACGTATATTCACGGAAGTGTTACTTACCCAATCTTCCTTGATAAAACGTCCTTTGTTGTATTTTCGCTTTCTAATTACTGTCTCATCTATTTCCACTATCTTTCCAACTCCCCCAAACGATTCATGTACTTGTGATCGCGCAAAGAAAGTGCCAGTTCGAGCATATAGTACAACGAAATGCAATATCATCACGGTGGTCTGCACATCGTGCTGCAGTCATTTGATTGCCGCAGTCACAGACACAGGAACTTCTTAATAGTCCCGTCTGTTATAGTCGCTCAACAATCACCTCTTCTCTGAAATCTGCTGTAAAACGATCGAATGTGAGCATCTCGAATCGAACTTAGCGCCGTGACCTTGAACTTCCTCAAACGCCTCTGATTGGCTCGTCCATAAATTAGAGTCCTACCTCTTAGTGGTACGTCCTAATCGAATGTTTCCCCTGAATGAGTTTATAAGGGATTAGTAATGGTTGGTTGGTTCTCAAAGAAGATTAAAATGAAGACTTGCTGTTTTTATAAAGTAGAAACTAACTAATCAACTAAATGTTTATGTAGGAGTCTAGAGGTGTTCCAGTACCCAAATCGTAGATTGGACAATTTTGAAGAAACAACTGTACATAGACTATTTAGACCGTCGAACAGTTTTGAACTAATTGAATTGGTAAAATCTAACTGTCACTTACCAGCTAACTTGTGAGGCACTAAGTAATTTGTCAGTTTTGTATTGGTAAAAGACTATTATCGAATGTGTATCAATCTGATCGTACGTGCAAACTGACATACAAGCCGTCGTCGTTTTCCGAATATATTATTATGTTTGAAAATGAGTAGTTCTAGGTGTTATGAAGTTATTTTCTTGTAATTTATGTCATCATTGTTCATTCAAGGTTAGATAAATCATTAAAGTTTCCATACTGTCGACTGCATTTGAACCGTATTACAGTGTTGACATTGTCTGAAACGCTCTAAAGATTGATGATCATTGATTACGAATCTTGCATCACATAACTCATCGTTAATCACAGTTTTGGAGATTCACTTTTCACCTTTTTTAAAATCCCAAACATCTTGTTACTAATATGTTATCTCCATATTCACTTGAACTATTCCATGTTTTTACAAACTGAATGATTTGAATTAATGCACCATTAAGTATAGCTCTATCAGTGAGTTAGATATTACTTCGACAATATCAATATTGCAAACGTAGTAAACGGCTGAATTATTTTGTTCCGAAGTTTTCTGTCTTCTCTTCAGCCATAATATCCAACTTAATACTGCATTTTCCATATTCTTAAGTTAGACGTAAATTGATTGGGCTGTTGTCTTCACTCACCGTTTACTGACGACCTAGTACAGCTGTCATTATAGGCAAACAATAAGGATGTATGGCTTAGAAAATCCATTACCTATTATTATAATCTAAGTGTTTTTAGGTACTTCATGCAAGCGACTTGTTTAAATAGGTTTAGTTTAACACTGGATCATTTGTTTTTCAATATTTTCAGTATTTCATTTTAATATTGAGTCTTCTATCGACTACTGTACGTTATATTTTACATTCGATTGACTCTATGCGAGAACATTCCTGGAATAAGAAAGCTACATATCTCTTATATGTGGATATTCTCATTGGATTTATTCGTTTGGCTGTGTATGTTGAGTTTACGTTCATCATGTGGTCACTGCATCCGTTTCCTTTGTTTATCGCGCGACCTATCTATCTTAGCATCAGATCACTAAAAAAGGCGATTCGAGTAAGTTTTTGACTAAGGATTTCACAGTATTCGTGATTTTGGTCATACATTTTTGCATGAATGACTAACGCAATCGTATTTGAATTGTCTTTATGTTCTGGTCAGTTTCACTCCGTGATTAAAAACCTGTACATTCTGTCGCTGAACACTGTCTTCTTCTTAGCCTTCAATATAGATCTTGTATATTTGTTTGCTCGCGTTAGATTTATTTTACAAGCGAAAAAACCATTTACAATGTATTAAGACATGTGTTAAAAAATAAATTAAACATTTAGATCCATACCTTCAATCTGTTATTGCAAATTTAAAAACAATCGTAGATAAATATTACAAAGATATCATAATTTGCTGTTCGGGATACTTTTGTCGACTCTGAAATAAGACTATCATTAGTCTTCTGGAATTTTTTGCTTACCGTTGTTCAAATACTATTACTTTATTTATTTATTATTTATTTCAACACATATATATTGGTACAAGGAGGAACCAAATACATATGCGCCACACAGATCTCATTTAGTATGTGTAAGGGCTGTGATACTGCCCGGTTGCCTAAACCGAAGTAGGTGGTTTTCTTAGGGGGCCACACCCCGAGCCTTCGACTTGACGATCTGACCCACAAGGCAGTGGAGCATCGTAAGGAGATGCAGTCCCATGGTAGCCGGTGACCAACGATTGGTTCATACGCTATTTATTCCTTCAGGAAACTGGAACCCATGTGCACCATTGGTTTGGGATCTGTTTAAAGCGCCGGAAATTCGCTTTTCGTCCTCTCATTTTCGTAAACAACACCCCCGCCACGAGAAGGCAGTGAGTAGGACTCCCCTGGCAGAGTCTATATACGCGTGGCCATGTGAGAGCATTTCGAGAGGGAGAGTGGACTCTCCCCACTCTCGGTCGTACCAGGGAATTTGGGGGCAACGTTGGGCCTATACTATTACTTACCCAATATTAATAACGCAGTCTAATTAAAAGTTGCAGTCCAGACATTCAAAACATGAAGAATTTATTTCACTTGGAAATAAATTTTCGGATATTTAGTATAGTAATAGAAATTATTGAATTCATGAGACACACATATCTCTAATATTAAGGCGACACGTGGAGTTGGTGATAAATAACCCGACCGTAGCTACTACCTTAACATGTTAGTCGGGCTTGTCTATCGTTTACTTACCCAAGCTATATAGGCTGGAACACATGTTTCTTTCTATCCTATCATAAGAGGCAGGTCGGTTGCAGAATGGTATGACTAAACGTAGAAACTTAAGGTCAAAGGGTGAAGTCGTACTGTTGACTGTAGAGGAGTGTGACACCAGTAAGCTGTTTCCCTCAGACAATCAGCATCTTCAGCGATGCTGCCTTTTCATTACGGAAGTGGCTGTCACATCTTATCTTACCCCATGGATTTCCGTCTCTAGCAGTAAAGCATTTTTAAGTGGAGATCTAACATCAAAAGTTTTCCATAAAAAGGCTATTGATGCTTTCTAGGTCTCCAAATCTCCTTTATAGGATACAAGTACTGTCATTCGTTTGATCTCACTTTATCAATGTAAACAAACGGCACGATTTACCCTCCGAGTATCTGAAAACTCCACTGCCATTTTCTAAGGCTTCACTGATGTATATACAGCACTGATTTCTAAAGCAGAATAGGATCTCCTAGACAGGATTCCAATAGACATTCGCTTGTGCGCTGTCCAATTAATCGAGACAGTAAGAACTCGAAAAGATGGGGATACACGCCGTTGCTTGTTTGTTGTCTCTGCCTACGCTTCCATTTATTGAAGCTCTGATGAAGTCAAAGATAAATTTCATAGGAAGCTATCCAACTTCTTTCAAAAAACTAAACGCCATGATGTAGTGATAGTAGCAAGTGATTTCAGTGCTCAATTAGGTAAATTAAACCGAACCGAAAGGTACTTAGGCGATTCTTAAGGTGTTGCGGCTAAGCGAACAGATAATGTCAACCGTCTGTTGCAACTGTGTTCAGATAACCGTCTATTTCTGGCAAACACTAACTTCAAAAACAGAGAGAAACATCGTAAAACGAGGTAACCGCCGTAATTGACTCATCAACGGACTGTAATAGGTCACACTGCCATTAGCTATCGTTGGAGGGGCTCTATAGAAGACTGTCACTATTTCGGGATTTGGCCTGACACCATCTCTCTATGCTAAAGGAATGTGGCTACTTGAACCGATGTACATATGTACGTCGTGACTGTCTGGAGATAAATAATTTTTGCAAGTTTGAAATATGCGTAACTGTCTCATCCGCTAATATTCTCCGCACAAGAAGATCGAATAGCATACCAAAGTCAGATTAACCTAATGTGATGAGCATCTAAAAGTGGAGCTTCATTAACTGGATCGTTATGTGAAAAAATAAACTGTTATCACTAAGTGTGCCTGTTATAATTTAATTGTGTACAGACGAAAACGAATCATCGGAGATGGGAAACATATAATTTTCTTTTGAGTTGTTCTATACTCATATCAGTAAGCTAATGAGCACTGCCCACTCGATTTTCCGTAAAGTTGTAAGATTATGTAGGAAAAATATATTCGATTAGGTCAGTTTATAGTTATTCACAACGTAGAACCTGCCATGTATATCCATCGGTTCAAGTTAACAGCTCGTTGAATATTTGTTTGTGTGTCTAAGGTAAATGTTAACTCAATAACCAAGATTTAGATCTGTTAATGAAACATATACCTTCATCAAACGTTAGTAATATTTGTTCGTTAATCTTGTTTTCTTCCGGTGCTTAGTAATCAAGAAAACCATCTTTCTTCCAGCAGATCTAAGGTTTAAACTCCGCCCAACCCACCCCTCACTTAAAGTGTGGCTGCAAGCCGTGTTCATAAACTTGTTATCGGTAAATAATCGAAATGAATTTTTTCCTGTACATCTGACTGTTACCTAAAGTAGTGAAAGACTTCTCTCCCCTTAACATTATATACGACACTGACAATGTATAATCTAAGTAAAAACTTATTTCAATCGGATTTACAAAAACAGATTTGATTAGTTCTCATTTGCTTATGAGTTATGGAAGAGTTTCAGTTTTTTGGGATGTGCAACTGAATCGTAACCGAGATAATGGGAACCAAACTAAAATTTCTTTCTGTAAAGTTTGTTTGTTGTAAAATATTTTCCTGACTCAAAATAATTCTTACCAATTATATCAGTGTGTTCTTGTCAGTCAGTCAGCTGCAACGTAGGACCGAGAACATATGTACATCGGTCTAAGATGACATACCTCATTAGCACAATGAGATGAACACCAAATTCATAGAAGTAGTTGATTCAGTAGTGGTAATATATTCTTGAGCATTTAACAATCGTGGGTGTAAGCTTTTCTTTACAAACTAGGTACTGGTCAGATACGTTTCAATTTTCATAGCCCTTTTCTGTTATGATAATTATAACAGTAGTTCATCATAGCTACTGTGTTCGTAATAATTGTGGAGTTACAGGCTCATCCGTATTCCCCCTTATAAAAATTGCACATCAAGAAAGGATTTCATTTGACGTTTACTTAACAGTAAATATGGTGCTCATTCGTTGTATGACACCGTTTGTGTAGTTAATGCACATTTAAGAGATTTTTCCAGAACATAAGGTTTTACATTCATTTAGATTATCACCTATCATCAGTTTTATGTGTGATTACTGTAAGCATAATATAACTTGGGATCCTTTGATTATTCCTTTATGTAAAGGATATGTTGATGTCACGTCGTGCGATTCGATACATGAACACAGTTTTCCGCGATGCCACTCCAGATGATTTGGCTTCCTCCTCAGATACTGTTTGCATAATCTGTCGTGAAGAAATGAATCTTCAAACGGATAATACACCATCGGTTGGGACTTCAGCTCTTAAAAGGTTACCTTGTTCTCACATTTTCCATTTTGGTTGTTTACGTTCGTGGTTTCAACGTCAACAAACTTGTCCAACCTGTCGAATGGATGTCATTCGAGAAGCCAGAGTGCAAGAAAGACAGCGACAGCAACCTCATCGTTCAGCAACCACCAATAATGCACAACCAGACAGCTCAACAACTTCTGGTCCATCTAACTCAACTACAACATCATCTGTTGCAGCTAATAATCAAAACTTATCAGTGCCATGGATGGTAAGCTTCACCAGTTGACCTTCAGATTTATGGTGACAAGTCACCCATTCTTTGCGAACAACTCTAACTAAAAATCATAATAATAATAATAATATAGTAACGATAAAATGCTTAAGGATAATTCGCTTTACTTTAAGTGGACCAATAACTTAATAAGTACGGGATTTGGTTTAGGGCCGTCGGGCTACAGGTTCATACGTTACTGAACTTGGTTTTTGCAAACGTATAGTTATTCCAATGTTTGCATGTAATGGGACTCAAAGTGGATCACACAAATTTTTATCTAGCTTCTCCGTTTCGGTCCCCCTAAATATAGAAATTCTTAGTCTGTTTTTAGCCACGGAATTTTGTTCTAATTATTAACAATTTCTTTTCCTATTTACTGACCACTTAGTATTATACTATTCACTAGCGTGTGATATGAGAGCATGAAAGCCGCGGAAATTCAACAAAATATATTTCAGCTGGATTTGCTTGACAAATGAACTAATAAAAACAAAGTCTATTATTAGGTTGTACTATTTAAAAGTAACTTTGTTGCATAGTGATTTACATCTAGGTTCGGTTCACTTAAAGAGGATATTCTGAAATAACATTATGGAATTTGTGAAAATAATTGGGGCTTTTATTGAGGTAAGACAGAATATATATAAGCCATTAGAAATGTAGATTCACATTTTATCCAACTTGATGGGTTTCTGGAAGAGGTTTGGGACTGTGGTGATTAATTTATCAATACCTCCCTGCTTAATTTCGATAAATGTCCAAGCTTTTATTTTTTAATCAAAGATTAAAAAGATTTCTCCTTAGTACATTTTTACACCTGTTTTCTCACTTACAAAATAGTTGAAATTGGTATTGTTTGAGGAAGGTGGCACATAGTTATGTTTACCTAGTTATACTTTCGTTTTAAAAATAAAATTGTTTTATCCGCGGAAATTCTTAGATGACTTGTGTTCGCTACTGAAAACCCCGAATCCAACGACGTATAATAAAAGCATAAGGACTTTGATATGAATTTATTTGACACTGGAGATACGTGAATAAACTAATTTTTATGTAATTTATATACAGTCAGTTTCATATAATTTTAGCTGTTCAGTGTTTAACATCAACTAGTGAATATCTTACTGGGTGAATACATTTACAATATCATACAATTAAGTATTTATAATCAATAGATATAATTAATTGACCAAGTTATATAATCACTTAGGATGTGATTACATGTCACAGGAGACCAGTTGCTCTCCAATCGATTAAGTAATTGTTCGTGTTATCACATATTGTTACTGTTATTCAATATTTTGTTTGTTATTTAGCCTCCTGCAAATGCATTCCCGTTTTACCCGCCATTTATTCCTCCTACAAATAATTCAACAACCACACAAGCTCAGACAGTCTTTCCGTCTGTGTCTCCTTTATTCATACCACCCTTTATGGGCATGCCCATAATATATCCTGGTAAGTTAGGTGGAAAGTTTATTACACTTTTAACGGAACATCCTATTTATAACCACACAGTTTGGATGTTGTATATCATTTTAATTCGATATCGATCTCGCAAGCTCAGTTTTCACTTTATTTTTACATTCATACAGTTCTTTTTGATGTTAGAACAGCTAAAGTGGACTGTAATGTGTGTAATAATTATCATCATGCATTCTGTTCGTATTTTTGAACTATTCAACTTTCAAAGGATATTGTCAATGTATCTTGCACAATCGGGGTCCTGTGTTTATTATCAGTCTTTTTTAAAACAAAATATGAAAAAAGTGACTGACAGACTTAGCTGTATTTGGTTTTTGAAACAATTTTTATTAGTATTTACTAATTTCATTCACATGAAGATTTAAATTACCTGTTTTCATTTAGGTATCTCAACTTTCTGTAGAAGCATATTCTATCTTGGGTATCTGTCATCGACACGACATTTATGGACGATTAATTCGAAACAGTAAAGTATATATCCCCTATATTATTATTTGACCTTTTAAGTAAGAAGGGTGTTATCTGATTGTGCCTGTTATGTGATTTTACGAACCTATTGACTGTTAGAGTAGTAAAGTTATGACTGTAATTGATTATTCTCTGACTTTTAAAAGAATAATTTAGAAAGCCAAGAATGATCATTGATCGTTGTAAACGAAACATATAGTTTAAATTAGCGCACGGGATGTTTGTATTTCGAATGTTACTTAGCCTATGAGTACGGTGTGTGACTTTATAGTATTCTGTAAACTAGGCTTTTCTTATTTTCTTACCTACCAATTCGCATTAATGTAACCATTGTGTCACACTCCGCTTAGGTAACTTGTTCTCTAATGGAAATACTCCTATGCCAGAACCGCCCTCTGGACCACCTGAATCAACTGATGAAGCTCGTCTTCGTGCCAGTGCCGAAGCCCGTTTCACTGCTTTACGTCAAATAAATGTACTGTTGAATGCAGCTGTCCTGCAAATGAATGCTTACCTCAATGCGGCTAGCGCTCCCACAAGTGAATTAGAACCTATGACTTCTATTAATACTGTCCTCAACACCGACAATGTAGGATCAAATAATGAAGGAAAGGAAGCCTCAAATAGTGATGTAAATTCTCAGTAAGCAGTTTTCTGATTCACCTTAATTATTTCCGTTTGTATCATTACTATATCTTCCAATTACCAAAGCATTCTGACTTTTGGTCTTAACACGTGTTCAAATACTGAAGCAATTTTCAAAGTGAATCTATGTTTACTTTTTTGTATAGTCCAGTTAAACTGGTTTTGAATAGACTTCCAAAATATTTTTATCCTGTTTTATTATAAGCTACAACTGATACAGATATTGTTCACTGAAAATTAAGTCACTCATTTTATTTATATACTCTCTATGTATAATTCAGTCTATGTATTATTAGGTGGTTTAGTTTCTAGTTGGTCCCATCCGTGTGTCTTCCTAAATTTGAATAACTAACAGTGCCGGATATTCAGTCCTCCTTAGTGGTTTGTTCATCTTGAAGCATTTCGTTTTGTTAATTAACGTGGGAACTGATAGTTTCATCTCACATTCGAAACTGTTCTGTCATTTATTCAGTACATCATGTTTTCTTTCGAAAGTCCCCAATGATATTCTGGGTATTTGTTGATTGACCGTGTTGGTTGGATCCTTTTATTATATATATATAGTGAAGTTCAGAGCGAATCTTACCAGTCTTGACCTATTGTTTTGTTAGTTTTTATATACACGATTAAGTGCACAACACTGCAATGCAAATAGTTTTCATGTTTTCTCATTCTTACATGTCATGTCCCGAAAGTCATACATTTCGTTTAATTAGAACATATTTTATGGAGTTTGAACTTTTAATCATGAATTACCCAATCGCTATCTAAGCGGTTACCTACCTTTTTTCTAATGTTAGGTCACGTGAGTTGGTTCAGCTGTTTATTTACTTATTCCGTGATGAAAATATATTATAGATAATAAACTGTCTAAAGTGATTAGTTTCAATTCGGAGCCTAATTTTTGTGAACTTTAATGTAAATATCTGATTACTGGATTTTGTTGTAAGAATTTACGTGATTTGTTTATACCGTTGGAGATATTCAGTGATGTATTCGTACTTTTATGGATATTTATTAAATATTACTTTATTTTAGTTATTTTTGTCGAGTTTCGTGGAAACCTGAGTACATGTGTGTTCTGTAACAGTCGCCTTGAAATCATCCCAGTAAACTTATTTTGTTTTGTTTTGTGACGAATAATATTTATACATATTAGTTCCCATAATGTTTCAGATGTAATACCAGGTGAATCAGTGGTCATTTACAATCATCATTACGTCGGTTGTTCGTAATACCTGTCTACCTATCATCTGACTAGTCAGTAGACAAATTATTTTCAAATTAGTTCTGTGTTTCGACTCATGGTTCGAGGTTTTTTTTGTAGTTTAACTCTTACATTAAAAACTGTTTAGATTCAAAATTAATCTTTCCACATGAGGCGAAGATTTCGGTTCACAAAATGAAATGTCTGAGGTGTCAATAACATCTGTCAGTGTTAGTCTCTCATTGATGCTGTCATTTAGTTGGTGATCTAATATTTTTGGTTCGCACTATTTTATGATAGCAAATCTACGTGATCGCTATTTATGTGTTTCATTTCTCAATCATAATTTCATTCTATTTCAGGTTAGACTCCGATGGTAAAAGTCCTCTTGTATCAGGTAAGTAAAAGTTCTGTTCTAGTTTTGATTTTTTTAACGGAACAGCTTTGGCATCTTGATATTCGAGCTATGGAAGAAAAAAATTGTTCTCATTCAGTCAATCAGTCAGTCAGCTGATTGTTCTCATTACTTTCCATCCCATAGATGCCTTCATGATGATTAAATATGTAGTTGAATTAAAACTATTTACTTGTGTTTCTTACATGTGATGAATAGAAAATGATATGTTTCAATCCTAAGAAAACTTTTCCGAAAAAATGTTTTACGAAATTATCTTAGAAAACAACAAGAAAGTAAACAGCTCTCACAATAAATGACTGAAATTGTGAGTGGAACACTAAGGCATAAACCACCAGGACTGATTAGTCTTTAGGATTGGATAACCTCTTCCGTACAACATAAAGAGAATACTTATAAATTAATTTACCTCTTAGTTAAAACTGAACAATAATTTGTACGAAAACGTCAAGTAGGTTTCAATCATAGTTAAGATCATGTTAAACACGTTTTATATCATTCTCTCAATTTCAGACATAAAGAAATAGGGGGAAATTATTGTTCAGTGTATCCTTATGAATGAGCCTCTAAGAGTGATTTTCGTAATCTCGAAATTGAAGTTTTATGTCTTTCAAAAAATAATGAAAAACCTTTCATTGGAAATTCAATGTAAACAAATTCTGGTATGGTTTCTGGGAGATATTTCTGTTTCTAGACAAAATAATTTAATAGGAATATGAAAGCATCGATTAACTTCATTTGAACAATCATCAGGAAAAAAAGCTATACAGTCACACAATCTGCTATCTTATTTTTCAAAGTAACTGTAAGGCACGGAATTTAAAATTAAATGACTAAGATGAGTACAGATATTTTATCACCGGTATTCTCCCATCAGAAGCTTGAATTGGAACTATTAGGGTGTGTTAACGAGCTAGGGTCAATTAGAGTAGCTATGATATGTTCCAAACTTCCACTATTATATTTAATAGTTTAAGTTTCTGTCACGTGCATTGAAGGACATTGTGGTACATCATAAGTCATTGGCGTTACATTAAAACATGATAAACAAACTAAACCAATATCTCATTTCACTTACATTTCATCCTTTTGTTTTTTTCTCTTAATTTGTATTTTTGTATCTAAAAGATTCGGAATTTACGGAAGTTCGTAAACGTAGACTAGAACTCGTTGAACGCTCATCTGGAGAAATCTCATCAAAGTCTAACTCTGAAATTAATGATGTGTCCAACTAATCTTGTGACCTTTATATATACCTAACTTTGATATTACTCAGTTTATTCTGAGATTAGTTTGTGTAAGTTGAATTCTGTGTGGCCATGTATTCTTTCAGAATTCTTAAATAAAACGAATGGCTTTCTATATATTTCAGAATTTAAATTATATTTGATGTAATATCGTTTCGTTATATTCTTCAAGAAATTTGAGATATTTCTCTTCATTATAATTAGCAATATGGTTTTTTTCAATGTACATCTACTTTGTTTTAAATTACAGGGAGTAGTGATAATAGTAGACAATAGTTTAGTACATCATTTAAACAGGGCAAAACTAATGGCCTTGATATAATTTTGTCGTATGGCTGTGTTTATTTATTACAATTTTAAAAAGTGCAAACCACAATAAATGGCTGTTAAACCTGATAGTCTAACTGACAGATTATTTCGTTGAGTAATTGTCGGCAAATAACCGATTAGTGATTTGTAAGGAAGCTTTTATGCAATCCGCATTTTAGGAACAGATATTTTATGATGAGTCGGTGGTCTTTGTATTTTGAACATGTCACCTATTGTGTTTCAGTATCTAGTATATTCTGAGTGGAAGATCTCATCTGTCCATTTTATCACTTAGGTGTGCGGATTTCAAAATGAACGGGTTATGTATTAGTGTAAATCATAAACCATATAGAAACATCTGTATTTGACGTTGAGACCAAGTGCAAACAAAACTCATAGTTAGCTGTGACTTATTCAAAACCTACTCATTAAAGTAAATTTATGAAACTTATTTTTGGACTGCAACTGGTATTGGTCATCACGCGCTGCGTAAAAGGTTCCAAATGCTTACCTGTACTGTCATTTACTTGCAACTTTACGGAGGAATCTAAAGTCCTATAGCCGAAAAATAAATGTGTACTAAAATCAATGGTATAGCTCTTCCCATATGTATGTTAAATGATCAGTTCTACTTTCTTGTGGCGATGAAATGAACATTTTATTCAGGGCTATGAGCATTGCTAGCAGGTACAATGTTTTCCGAAACATTGTCGTTGGCTTTCATAACATGCGATTCTGAAGTTTCACATATGTTATGGGTATCTAGTTTAGTGGTGCATAAATGGTTCTGTAAGTCTCCGACATTTCATTCTGACCTCATTAGTTTCAATGGACACATCTAGCTGAAGGTGCTTGGTCATGCGTTCGCACTAGATCATGATTTCGAACGCCGTGCTACTCATCTTTTACATTCGTTAGCCAGCTTGGATCAACTATTTCTTTCTCTACTATATCCTTATATACAATCTTTCTTTTATACATTACCACCATTGAATTAACCATTCCTATGAATTCAGTGTACATATTGTTGTGCTAATGAGGTATGGTTACTTAAACCGATACATATATGTGCTGTTGCTGAATGACTCAGCTTGGAACAAACGCCTCCAGAAATACCGATAGCCTTCCAAGTATGTCTTTCAATCTCTTCTCTTCCGACTTGATTGACTTAGCATACATTGTGTATAGACGTTGTCAAACTCTGAATACCTGTGGGTTTTTTTACCAGTATTCTTAAGAATCCTAAAATTCAAATATTGGTAGTTTACTTGCAATCTAAAAACTTCCGATTTTCGAACTTAAGTAAATATTTACTTTTATGGAGAACTATTCGTGACAGTTATTTGTGAGCCGATTAGAATTTTTCCATATTACACTCCTGTACCGATTTTCTTGTGTCATTTTAACTCGAATTTCGTATTCCAGTGAACGTAAAACGTGATCTCAATGTATCAAATGACGTGGCTGAAGGCAAAACACTAAAGATATTTAACAAATCTTTTATTGGATAACAATCACGTACGCATAAAAACGACCAACGTTGTTCGTAAACATCTGATAAGGTCAAATAGATGTGTGAATAAAGACACCAGAAATCACATTAATTAATCCATTCGGAAGCTAAGATAGGCGATATGGGCGAAAGATAATATACAATATCATAACCTTAAGTATTATGGACCGCGGGGTTGCTACTCTAAATTCCATCGATTGACCAACTGCAAATATCCCGATACTGTTCCCCAATCCCCAATATATCAGGACACGAACCGTTAGATGAAAATTGTTTTATGAGGTCAGGAGAATGAGAATTTACAGACAAATGCATATTTATACAGTTAGGACTAACGTGAATATTGATCAATAGGAAAACAACACCATTCTACATTCAAGGATAGCATCAGACTTAACAGGATAATTTTTGGGATATTTTCCTGAATATCCCAACATTAAGAAATACCTCGATTTGAACGGAGCTGAAAGGTAGACCTGTGTCTATTTCGGATAGGCTTTACTTTCAGGCCTAATGTTTCTACTGGAAAGTATGGTGCTCAATCTGAACATGATGTATCCTATTGCCTAGAGAAATAGGTATCTCAGGTGTAAAATTCTCAAACCATCTGATGAGTATTTCACATACTGTTCATATGTATGTTGGACAAATGCACTCTGGTTATTCACTGAATCATTCTCAGATATTTCGAAACGGCTGGACAGTTTGTCATTTGGTGACCATGACTGCAATGAATATTATGCGACTACTGAGGCACTTTCATGAAAAAATTTGAGCTTGACTTCTCAAATTTGTTCCATTTAGAAGAGCCAAGGATCTCAGGTTTAAGAGTATCTTTCCATAGTAAATATGGAGGATGGTGTTGTTTTCTCGAACACACTCCTCCAGCCTGTCAATCGATGCACACACTATTGCTGGTTACATGTTAATCTGACCAGATTGTCTCCCTGGCTTAAGTCTAATACACGCATCTGCATCACTGTATAGGTGGTTAATAACTTTGCAAGGTACAACGTAATAAAGGTTCATTTAGTATTAAGTCGAATTTAATAACTTGTCTTTTCAATTCGATTTCTAATCAAATCAAAGACATCTCTAATTCAACGCAATTTTCTTCCTGATATACCTTATAGTACAAACATACAATGAGCTCGAAATAGTCAACTCACCTCACTGTGATAAAGCAGAAAGTCCATCCCGATTTATGAAAATTCCTTGATGGTGTTGATCACCAAACCCGAAACTATGATTTGCAAGTATAAAAAGATGTCTAGTTGATTTTTCGGTTACATAATTGGAACATCACAAGTCAGTAATATTCTCTTTATTCTGTCCAATTTATAGACAATGGCCAGTAAATTACCAGACAGTGTGATCCATTGATCACACATGTTTTAATACTTCGCTAACGACTTAACGTGTACTAAAGGTTACAATGCTTTACTGGAGATAGTTACGGCAAATTTCTAACTTTTATTTTCCTAGAAATCTTGGGATTGAAACATCGGAAGCCCTCCCTACGACTATATGCTAAAGTATTTTTGTGTGAATGCTAACGTTTGAAGGGATATGCTCCTTTGGAATGGCGTAACAATAAAGCTATTTGGATTGAAGAATAAACTATACTCAAGAGTTCAGGCGGCCTTAAGTTTACAATATTTGCAAAACAAAAGTTTTGTGGGACATCATGTTGACGTATCACGTCATACCTAATCCTTTTCATTGTGTTTTAATAATATATCACATTTGAAAAGAAACAAATTTTGGATTCGACAAAGAATATCTCGAACAAAAACCTTTGTTAGACTATGATCAATAATTTGTGGAACCCCCTACTAGGTGCAAAAGAAGCATCACTTTGTGCTGAATACTTCATAAGAATTTTTGGAGTTCGCCTTAAGTGTTGCAACCCGATCACTTTATCCAATATTCACAAACTAATTGTCCTAAAAATTGGGTTCGAACATGATAATAGATAGACCTATTTATATAGAAAAGACGATCTCTTGGTATTAATATTCAAATATTCAGGAAATAAAATGACCACCTCATCTAAGTATAGTGTTAAGTTCATTCAGTGAGCTAATGTCGTATTCAGCGAGTCTACAAAATACGTACCGTAATATTGGTTCTGTTTGACGTGAAAGTTACACAAAACCTTAGCTACCCAAGCCTGGATTGTTCCTTTGTGGAGGCCAAGTATTCTTTCTACTTCGGTGTCCGCACCAAATTAATGAAATCCTACCATAAAAATGACTCGCTTGGATAGGAAAGAAATGGGCATGATGAATGCATACGCCAGTGTTGTTGTGTTAACTGGTCGATGATGTAAGTTTTCCTTGGCTTAAATGATATCCAGCAAACACTTAAGCGTCTTGTGACCTATCCTACAACATTGATATGTTGGGTATAAGTGGATGTTTGGCGAAAAAGCTTACTCCTGTTATTTCTCGTGGAAGCAAGAGAGGTCGATCATAATTTTCTAGTCAATTCTGTCTCAGGCAATCCTTTTTAGTTCTTTCAATTTTAACTCGTATTTTGATGTCTGTCTCCAATTCACGACACTATGTGTTCTTTTGTTTTTCTCGTTTCTTTTATCATCGAGATTCCTAAAATAGCTTTTTAATGCACGTAATTTATCTGCTGCATTCGATTTTTACTGATGTTCTTTGGTCAGTTTCAGGACAGGAAGTTAAGTGATCTGCGTTAGTCATGACAATGGTGGTTTCCTATTTGATCAAAATTACTTTTGAAAATGTCGACAGATTGAGTTTTAATCATATATCGAGGTGAATAATTCCACTCGTTGATGGTTCTATAAGAAAGTCGATATTCAGCTGAAACCCGTTGAATTGTCTATATCTAGCTCATTTATTAAAACAAATATATTGAGCACTTTAACGGTCATAGTGTTCAATGCGTGCGTGAGGGTTTGTCAAACTGAAAAATGGTATCTCTACAGCATGTAGACTTCTAAATTGAATTGAGAATACCTGAGCTATAATACGTCCCACATTCCTCGAATATTCTCTCTTCGCTTAGTCTTCCGGCTTATGTAGGATTATATGCGTCAAGGGTCTTCTGCAGACTACTTGACAAGCGGAAAGTTGTGGCACAAGTATTACAAGCTTAGCGATTATGAGATTTTATCTCGTCAGAACAAACTAACTTAAATATCTCCCACATTCTTCTCTTTTTACGGAGAAGATCGGAAACCTTTTTAATGAACCATGGTGGAGATCTTCACGTACCGTTTGATGTATTCCAAAAGATGTGCGTCGCAGTGACTTTTATGTTAAATCTCCTCATATATCATATGTCGTTTCAATGGGGGTGCTATGGTTATATTTTCCAATCTGACTGAATAGTGTCTCGCATATTTGCTTTCTAGACGTTTCAAATGG